GTACTTCTTTTCTGTTGTCAGCCCAGTAATGGTCACTTCTTGTGCTTTACTCTCTGAACATACTGCCCAAGTGTCGTCTCCCTCAGTTTGCATTTCCACAACATAACATGTGATTTTGCTTCCTCCATCAAGGTCAGGTTTTTCCCAAAGGAGTCTCACACTTTGTGAAGTGACATCACTAACTGTGATCTTGCCAGGAGGAGATGGCACCTCAGAGACTTTGACAGCCTCGGTTGTTTCTACTGGTTGTCCAGCTCCAAACTCGTTCACAGCCAGGACACGGAAACAATAAAAGGATCCTTCCTGAAGATTTTCAATCTTGTATGAGTTCCTTACACATGTGCTACAGGCACTTGTAAACGCTTTTCTTGCCTCCTCCCTTTTCTCTATGATGTAGTGCAATATCTTTGCACCACCATCAATGAGAGGCGGCTCCCAGGATAAAACCACAGAGTCTCTTTTTATATCCTTCACCTCCAGATTTGTTGGCGCGCTGGGAGAGTCCAACACTCTGACATTAATGAATGCTGATTTGGAGCCACTGAAGTTTGTAGCAGTCAACACATACTTCCCTGTGTCATTTCTATTTACATTTTCAATCAACAGTTCTGTGTTGGAACTTGTTACCTCAATTTGAGCGCGCTTACTGATTGTCCCTTCTTCCTTTGTCCATTTAATTTCAGGTTCTGGCTTACCCTTGATGTTGACAAAAAGCCGCAATGTGGAACAAGCTCGAACATTTACAATCTTCCTCAAAGCGGTGTCCAATTCAATTTCCGGTGCCTCTAGTTTTTCAACCGCCTTTACTGACCCGGGCAGATCAACGTGCTCTCCAGGGCCAGATGTATTGATGGCACGTATACGAAAATGATACTCAGCGTTTTCTCTCAGTCCTGTAACAATATAATTTGTTTTCTCTATACCTGTGGTTGGTGTGCATGTGATCCACTCATCTTCTGCTGTTTGTTTCATCTCGACTAAATATCCACTGATGCCTGCTCCGCCATCATAAATGGGCTTTGACCATGCCAGACAAACAGTGCTGCCAGAATGATCAGTCACTTTAGGATTGGTAGGAGGACCTGGAGGGTATGCAGCTTCACATACCTTTATGTACTCACTCGGGTCACTGGGTGTTCCCGCACCTGCAGCATTTTCTGCCATTACTCTGAACTGGTAGTAATGGCCTTCTGTGAGTCCTGTGCAGCGAAAACGTAAATCATTTAGTCTTCTTTTGTTACACCGAGTCCATCTGACGCCCTCTTTGTCACGTTTTTCCAGGATGTAGCCATCTATCTCAGAGCCTCCGTTACTCTCGGGTCTTTCCCATGTTAGGGCTATTGAGTCGCCAGTCACTGCACTTACTATGGGAATGGAAGGAGCGCTTGGTGTTGTGAAAGGATTTTGAGCAACGACAGGGTCTGATTCCAAGAACTCACCAACACCAAACTTATTTACAGCAGCAATTCTGAACATGTATTCTTTTCCAGGCACTAGTTTTGTTACTTTATATGAGAGCGCTTCAACATGATCCTCAACTTCACTCCATGACACACGACTGGTCTCTCTTTTTTGAATGATATAGTGGGAAACACAGGCACCACCATCATTCAAGGGAAGGCCCCAGTGAAGACTGCACTTATCAGCACTAACAACCTTCACCCGTAGGGGGCCATCCGGAGGTCCAGGCCGATCCAAGACTTTAACATTTACGGGCACAGATGTAGTTCCCCCCATGTTAATTAGGGTCAAAACAAACAGGCCCCCATCGGCTCGTGTGCACTCTCTCACAGTCAACGTGGTGTGTGTGAGGGTGTTTTTGACTTCTGTTCTTGGTGTAACTTTGTCAATTTCTTTTCCATCTTTAAGCCACAAAACTTGAGGGAGGGGTTTTCCAAAGTAATCTGCATCAATAACAAACGTCTCCCCTGCCTGAACTACAGTTGTGCTCTTGAACTTAGGATCAACCATTGCTGTAGGTCCTTCAATGACATCCTGAGCAGTGATGGTCACGCTCTCCGAAGGTGCGCTCCAAACACCGGCACAATTCTTAGCAGCTACTCTGAACTCATAACTTTGGCCCCCAGTGAGACCAGTGACTGTAAACTGTTCTTCAATAACATTAGTGAAGTTTGCCTTCATCCATCTGCCATCAGGAAGGTCCTTCTTTTCAACAACATATCCTGTGATGGTGCTTCCACCATCAAACTGGGGTTTGTTCCACCTCAATGTGATGTTCTCTCTTGTAATGACTACAGCTTCGGGCTTACCAGGTGGATGACAGGGGTCTCTTGCTACATGACCCTCTGATATCTTGCTTGATGGACTGAGTCCTGCAAGGTTCTCAGCAAAGACCCTGAATTCATACATGATCCCTTCTTCCAGTCCCATCGCTTTGAATCGGGCATCAGGTAACACAAACTTGTTTGACTTTGTCCATAAAATGCTATTTTTCTCCTTCTGCTCGAGGTGATAGCCAACAATCGGACTGCCACCATCTTTGGCCGGGGGCTCCCATTCAACAATCATGCTGTATTTTGTGACTGTAGACACAAAAGGAGTGCCAGGAGCAGCAGGTACGCTGAATGGATACTGTGCAATTACAATAGGAGATGTGATTGCAGTACTTTTTCCGTACCTGTTTTCTGCAAACACTCTGAACTGGTATTCACTACCTGTCTTCAGCTTGGTGACTTTAATTGTGGTTCTAACTGTTGTTGCGGACACGGTCTGCCAATTAGTACTTGAAGTTTCACGTTTCTCCACTACGTAGTTATCCAGCTGACAGCCTCCTAAGTATTCAGGTGGCTCCCAGGAGATGGTCACACAGTCAGAGCTGACATCAACAATCCTTATTGGTCCTGTGGGTGGGTCGGGCTTTTCAAGAACAACAACAGTTATTTCTCCTGAAACGTTCCCTGCACTATTGCTCACTCTGATGGAATATTGACCAGCATGCTCCCTTGCAGCATGTCTTATGTGCAGGACTGTCGATGAGGGTGTGGCAGAAACTTCAAGTCTTGACGTCTCTTTAACTGCATTACCATCTTTTTTCCATTCAGATTTCAACGGCCCCTGCCCAAACACTGGGATTTCAACTTTTAGCTCGCCGCCATTCTTGACAGTGAATGTGCTGAAGGTTATCTGGAGAGTTGGCTTGACTGCATTTTCCTTATTAGCAGTAGTCCCAGGTTGAGGCCCGGGGCTGGCTTCTTCTCCTGCCGAAATATCACGTACTTTTAATGTGGAAGAGAATTAATATTAAAATAAAACTGCAATTGGAAATAAGGGCCCCACAAAGTCATGTGCAGGGAAATGTGTGTGCCGGTCGGAATTTTGATAATTTCCCTAGATTAAATAAAGTGCATAGTAATAGTAGGTCATTAAAGTCACATTATTAGAGATCTAGCTAATTTCTGTAAATGATTTCTTAATATCATTGAAAATCCAGTGCATACTTTACATCTGGGCAGTCATTAAATAATATTTTTGGCACGAGTTTTTGACATATACATTCCCATTATACCATTTCACTAATTCTTATAAAACCACTTCATTTACGAAATCAGTCACAAAGAAATAAAACTACTTTAACATCATGGCATTTTACATATTACTTTGTAAATTAAATCAAATGTCAAACATATTATTTATATTTTAAGAATTAATATTAATATTGAAGTATAGCGATGTAAGGCTAAATTGTGCACGTCATACCTCGGACAACGGAGGGTGACTGGTAAGCCCCAGCTGTGCCGGTGTCTGGTGACCTATTTATATTTAGGGGGTAGGCTTTGTCCTCGGTGGCGTTTCTCATCTATAAAAAAGACAGGTGGTCAAAATACAAATGTATGAAAACAAGACAGAGCTGTTATATATATAATTTTTTTCTGTTGGTTTACCGTGTTTTTAGCATTTTTTTATTATTATTATTTTTAAATAAAACATTATTGTTTGAGTCACTGGCTTTTATGAGTGGAGTGACTATGATGTGTTTGTAACACAAACTCCTGGTGATGTTTAAAAATAACAGCACGCATGGGTGGTACAGAGTTACAAGATAAACTCTATTAATAATATTAACCGTTTAGGGTTCTAAAAATTTGTTATAAAATATTAAACCAAGTACCTAGAAAGCCCAGTCCATTATTTATTACTGTACAAATATATACTTTTTTTCACTGCATATCTTGTGAGCATTACATTTTTAGATAAAACAATATTACTTACTTCCTTATTGCTTCCTTTCATCATTCCTTTTACTTGTAACCAGTGTAATGTTGATAAAAGTCCAAACTGCTGCGACTCCACTCTGATGAGAATACACAGCCCTGTCAGTGGCTTTATCTGTAATGCTATGCAGTGGTTAAAATAGCCCCAGTGCCTGATTGGCTGACTGCTCATACCTTTAAAATTAGTCAACAGCACTCAACCAGAATGACTGGGTAATTTCTAGGCACTAAAGCATACACACACGATGATTCCAAAATCGGGAAGATGATTTTAGACTATAAATCATTAATTTACATTATGTTGTTTTGTATTTTTGATTTTGTTTATAAAAAAAATGTTTATTATATAGAATAACTGTATTTTGTTTTAGAACAATAAACATTTGTTCAGACTGATTGAACTGACTGAAAAAATGACTGAAAAAATTGACTGAAAAAATTGAAAGATTGGCCCAACTGACCTCCATATAAATCTGTGTAATGGTGTAAAACTAAGGACTGAATTCAAAATAACACGGCATATTTATACAAAACTAGGTCCACTCTTATCTAAAGCAATTTATTTGTACAACAACAATACATGTAGCTACTAATGCTCTGTTCTCTCTCTTGTTAATTTGAGGGTACATCCGTTTTATTTTAGGAAATAACTGCGCACTAAATGTTTACAACAATATTACTTTAATTAAGAAACATGTTTCTTGTCTTGCACGACAAAAACACGTTAAAGTAACTAAATAATAAAGTTAGGCCAAACACTGGTGAACTGTCCGAGAAATATTGTCCCTCACCTGCCGTATGTTACAAGACACCGAGGTTAAACGGAAAAGACGGTGTCTTCATTTTTAATGGTAGTAACAAGCCGTTTCCAGGAGATGTCAGGATTGTGCTATTCGACGAAAGAAAGCAGCCGTTTATCCTTTCAGAAAAAGAAGTTAAAGGAAATGTGTCTGTGACGTGGAGGTGAAATTATCAAACGTGTATGATATTTTATATAGTGCTATCGTCTATCTGTCTGTCTGTCTGTCTGTTAAGGCAATCTAAAAAATAAATAAAGGTGAGTTGGAAGCCGAATGAATTTGTAGCTTCTTGCTGTTCTAGTGAGGTAACGTCGCTGCTATCACATTGTTTTAGTACAATTCATTTGTTATTTATTGAATCAGCGAATCGTCAGAGTCATTCTTCTAAAGAGAGCCAGGACGACCACATCTGTCAGCTTAAAGCTCAGTGTAAGTATAAGACTCAAAACTGAAATAATAACCACAATCAATTGGAACATCTTTTATTTGTAATTTGTAAATATAATAGCTATAGAAATGTGTAGGGACGTTTACATAAACATGTTCAGCCATTTCCGGTAGCGATTCAAATGTTTACATTTTATTAAAAGGTTAATAGTCGTTAATAGATATGTTTGTAACGTGGTACAAAAATAAACAGTAATTCTAAACTAATATATCATATGTTTTCATACAAATGAATGCAAATACTAAAAAAAAATCAAAATTATACAGAAGTTTGTTTGTTTTTATAGACAGGGAGTAATGTAATGTTTCAGAGATGTTTGGGCTAAATAGAGGTAGCAGCAACAACTATATTTGACTAATCCAACTATTTAGTTTGTTTCCTAAACCATGACCCACATCAGCAAAACGTTTTTCTTCTTTAAATACTGTATGTCTTTAGAAACATTTTAAGGTTAATGGCAGAGCATCAGTAATCACTACAGTCTCATTTTTGTATCTCTTGCCCCTTTGCTGTATCCACAGATCCAACCATGCCACTCCAGTTTGTGTACACTGACCAGGAATTTGTCACAGATGTCTGTCGGAGCAGTGGACCCAGTTCCAGGACGTCACCGGTACCAGCAAAGTTTGACACACTGCTCCAAACTGGCTGGACAAAGAGGATGGAGGCGGGACTTTTTCGCTACACTCTAGGGGCTTTACAAACCCATATCATGCCTGGTTCGCATAACTATGTGGCACAATTAAATGTTCAAAGAGGAAGTGAGAAAAGGAAGCCACAGGAGATACTGAGCATTAGGCAGGAATTTAATCCCAGACAGTTTAATTTTAACAAAATAAATCCGGAGGAAGTTATATTTGAGATGGTTAAGGTCACAGAAAGACACCCAGATTTGCACAATGGCGAGGAGGCGCCTCAGCCCAGTAGGATGACTGTACTTGTCAATGTCAGTCCTTTGGAGTTTGGACATTGTCTCTTAGTTCCAGACCCTCTGAGCTGTCTGCCACAGATTCTGACACCGTTCACCATTCAGGTTGGAATAGAGTCTGTGCTCCTGAGCTCAGACACTGGCTTTCGTGTGGGTTTCAACAGTTTGGGAGCATTTGCGTCTGTCAATCATTTACACCTACATGGCTACTACATGGGCCGCGAGCTCAAGATAGAATCGAGACAGGCCGAACCACTGGTTCCTGAAAAGGGGTTTTATCGCTTCTTAGACTTTCCTGTGGGGTTTCTGTTTTATACAGAATCAGAACAAGTGGAGGAAGTCTCCCGAGCTGTGTGTGAGGTGACAGACCTTCTGGTGGCTGCTAACGTCGCACACAACTTGTTCATGACTAGAGGATGTCCTCCCCATGATGGGATGCAAGATAAAGACGATCTCAGTTTGAGGAGAGGCGTCCGTATCATTGTGTGGCCCAGGCTGTCGTGTTTTGGTGTCAAAGAAGACTCTGCCTTTAATGTTGCTCTTTGTGAACTGGCTGGACATTTGCCATTTAAGAACAAAAGGGACTTTGAGTGCTACACTGAGAAAGATGTCTCTGATATCATTCAAAAGTATCTTCTGCCGGACGATGAGATGAAAGCTTTAGAACAGCAGCTTGTTTTGCTTTTGAAGGACAGTTAATGGATTAAAGCCTTCAGAAATGACAGACTACTCACAAACACTACTGTTACTTTTGTTTTAAAATATGTACAGTGCACGGTACTACTAAATACAGCAAAACACATTTTTTATTACAACATAATTAAAGTGTTTTTTATTGACAACAGAGTGAAGGAAAATTAAATTGATGTGTTTCTCTGGAAATATTTTATATATTTTATTTGTAAATAAAAATACATTTATATAACTATTCTCGGGTGTTTGTTAGCTTTGTTTTCTGTAATTTCTATTAATAACTGATCATAGTTATTTTTTAATCATATACATTATTAAATATTTTATTGGACTATATAAAATATACAATTACTTATTGTTCATCAACGCTATCTAGTTATAATTTGATTCATTTATAATAAATTATAAAGAATAAATATACAAAGGATGGCGCTTTGGCCCAGAGCCAATGTCTCTGTCATTGGTGTGGAACCTCCTGGGCAAGATCGAATCCCAGTTAGGGCGGTTGGTACCTTCCAGTGGACTCACCACCCGCAGGAAGGTTTGAGGGGTTGGTATGGTGCAGTGTGATTTGGGTGGTGACTACTGCCCCCGCGACCCGGTAACGGATAAGCAGATGAAAATGGATGGATGGATGGAAATATACAAAGGAAAACGGTTAGGTTCATTCTAAGTACCATATTTTCCTTTTTGCATCCTTTGTCTGGGCTTGCGACTTAGGTGCGTCTTATATAATAAAATATATAATTTCACGTTTGTTTTTTCACACTGACAGCCGCTAGAGGGCACTCTAGGCTTGTGTACCAGTATCTGCTACTGTTGTGCAACTGAAAATGTATATCTATGTTTTATTTTTTTTCTTCTTCTTCATTATGCATTTTTTGGTGCAATTTATAGTTCAGAAAATACGATACACTGTAGACTGCACTACACTGACTTACACTATAGATTATAGACTATAGACTGCTCATTTGTGTGGGCATCCCAGGTCTAGAGTGAGTCAAACAAACTAAAGGTTAGATAGATAGATAGATAGATAGATAGATGGATAGATAGATAGATAGATAGATGGATAGATAGATGGATAGAAAGAATCTATTCTGTGGTTACTTCTCTAAGGAGAACTAAGATGTCATGATCAACCTACCAGTCAGTTTTCTTACTGCTATGACAGCAGGTTGCCAGTCACGTGTCAGTAGGTTGCTACTCACGTGTCAGTAGGATGCTTTTGACATTCATCTGTTGCTACAGATGAATGTCAAAAGTCCCCACTTGTTGTTTTCACACCTGAGGGCTGGTTGGACCAGACACCAGGTTGTGTGTTGGTGCCACCAGCATAACTCCGACTGGATTGCTTAGTAGCTACAAATGTGATGTGAAGTTTTTTCTGTTTAGTAAACATTGTGATGAAATGTTATCCTTCAGTAAGGTAAATGACTCCCTCATTGTTATATATAGATGTAGAGAAGGTTTACTTACATTAACATAAACTTGAACTAAACCATTTCCTGAAACATGTGTCCTCTTGAGGTGCAGTGTAAATATAAGCTGCTGTTTGTTCTCCAGTCATAACCCTAACCAAACAATGAAGTCTGGCCCATGGTGACAACTTACATTTAGGTGTTTGTGTTTACACCTTTACACCTTTAAAAATACACAGACAAAAAGAAAAATGAAAAAGACTATCCAGATTGTTGTTTTATAGAGTGAATATCATATGTGGTGGTGCACCAGTAGCCATGGCATGGCTATTTCAGGATTTTCAGAGATTTTATTTAAAAACTCTAGAAAAGAGTTGCATATCTAAGCATTTAAGAAGTGTCCTTTTGCGTTTGGATTTCTAGAAAGACCTAACTTTTTGATAACAGGGTTTACAAGTCAAAGCTAAAATGTTACTGAGAAACATCCACAAACAGTTACTGGGTGAAAAGAGACAATTAAAGTGGTCTTTTATATAGAGAACATAACAGGAAATATTAGGAATAATAGGGCCAACTCTAGTACACAAATTATATGATCATGCGGGCCAAATATAATTACACTATGGGCCAGATTTGGCCCCCGGGCCTGAGTTTGACCCATGTGACCAAAATGCCATTTTAATAGATAAATTAAAAGAGCAATAAACACCATTAAAAACAACATGTGACTTCAATGACAAACATTTGAATGCCCAAGTGGTTAGTATTTAAATGTATGCATGAAGTGAAGTGAATGTCCCTAACCCCAACTTTATACCTACATAGGGGGCAGTAGTGGTTTGGTGGGACCTGGGTCTGGAAGGTTTCAAGTTCAAGTTGGTTTGTTGGTGGATTTGGCAGACCTCGAGTCTTTAGTCCATATGTGCTCAGAACAATGGTGGTCCTTGAACTCTATCCCGCACAGGGATTTAAGTAACAAGGCACAAATGCATCATTTTTTACCATCAGGATAGATAAGAGCATAAGCTTTCCTGTATCATGAATTGAAAAGAGTTGAAGAGAGTGTGTCCTTTCTTGGAGTCCTATTTGAGCACACACTCATGGGCAACAATGGCTAGCTGAGTGTGTGATATGGCCCCACAGGGATACTGATTATTTACACTTAATGCTTCACAGGAGACACAAACAAACAGACTACGTCCTTCATCGAAACTACCACTGACAGCAGGTGAGTAGCACTGTGGCCTGGAGGTTAAGCAGGATGTGTATGTAACTGCTGTGTTTAGACAGCCTTTGCCTCCGGTCACTACCAAGTCTTATTATTATTATTATTATTATTTTCGAAGTAGATAAAAAAGATAGTCGGAATCAACTGACATCTTTAAAAAAAATTACTCAAAGTCATGCCGCTATGGTGAGAGGGACTCCAGATTGTTGCAGATGGAAAAAGGTGGGAGTGACATGGGGGAGTGTCCTGTAGTCATCGTCAGCTCGACTTGAAATGGTCACCTCTCAAAAGTGTTTTTTTTCCTTCTTGAACTTGCATTCTCACTTGACCTTTGAATAAGTAAGAAGAACAGAAGAGAAGCAGAAAGGATGGGCAGCGTACAGAGCTTCAGACAGCTGTGTGACCGCCAAAAGAACACCAATGTTCACCTCAGTCTACCAGCAGTTTGTATTGTATGGCAGACGGCCATGATCATCTTATTTGGTGTTTTTATTCGATACAACGAGGAGTCCGATCCACACTGGGTTGAGACAAAACGGAAAAAAAATATATCATCTGACATTGAGAATGACTTCTACTTCAGATATCCAAGTAAGTGGTCATCTTTTTACCTCCCCTTGTCTTATCATTCTCTTTAACCACATCCTCTTTTGACATTTGCCTTGCTATTCAATATGGATTATTTTATTTTTTATAAAATATAAATATTTTTAATAAAAAAACATTTTAACAAAACATTCTATTTTATTTTCATGGCATTTTTAAAAGAAAATTCAATCTGATTCTTTAAAAATTTGGCAGCCATTTGTTTGTATATTTTTCTACTTGATTTGGCGAGTTAATCTCAGATTAGGCTGACGTGCAATATTCCGCCTGCTGACAAGGACCTGACATCAACCAGGTGCACATTCCCCATGAGGATGGAGTCCCTCGAGGTTTTTTCCAGTTTAACCATAACTGACTCAGTGTTAGACTTTGTGTCTTTATTCAAATATCCTACTTACATAGAAATCCTACTTAACACAGAGCAGGCTTGTTTACCCTAACATAGACACAGACAAATATGAAGAGTACTGTACATTGTGTACATACATGCTGTATGTACTGTACATAGACGTGCGTGTGTGTGTGTGTCCCACGATGTCGGTTTCAGTGTAAGACTATCATGACACCATTTCTATAATGATGTTGTATGTCAATTGATAAATGAGTTTCTCAGCCCATTATCACATGATAACATTATGGTGGACAGGTTTCCAACCTTACTTACAGCACGGTGGAAAGCTGTAACGTTTCCTGTAATGTGTCCGAGTGTTCAATGTTATGTTGTTACCATCAGTTCCTTCTTCATGCTGGCACCCACATGCAATTGCTTCCCAGCTATTGCAGATTTCGCAAACAATACGCTTAGGGTAATGAAGTAGTGCGTGATGTTGTGGGATCTTTACATACTGACCTTCTATTGGGTTGCCAGGTTTTAAAGGTAATGGTAAATAATCTTGAGTTCAAAAACGAAATGCTAGAAATGAATATTTATTCCCTTTATTCATAATAACGGGAATCTTCACAGAGCAGCAGAACCGTGTTTATCCATCCAGCCATCCGTACCATCACCTCCCTCACCCCCCTCCCCGCCCCCCCGTTCTGCTTCTCACTGGTATGGGAGTCACAGGTGTCTTGTAGTGTTTGTTTGTGTTTGTTTCCCATCCGTATTTAATAATGACACACTCCAGCTGGCCTGTGCAGTACAGGGCCATGACTTTGTCATTGACTGACTCATACTAATAACACATTCTATTTAAACAGCGTTTGTCGAACACCCAAGGACGCTTGACAGTTACATAGGTCAACTGATTGTCCAATAAAACAAAGTCATTGAAACAGTACGAACAACAAGATCATAACAAATTTGAAACCATGTACTGTGCGTTTGTTCGGGCAGATTGTTGTTAAAAGTTTAAAAGTTTGGGTTTTATGATAAAGCAGAGCTGGGTGTCTTGTGTGTAGCAGTGAAGGTGACTGTTGTATGTTGTAAGACATTGCCATTGGTGGACGCAGGTAGGTAGAGCAATTGTGTTTCAATAAAAGTTCTTCAGAGCTCTGAGGCGTCTGACTGGTCGGTCGGCTGGGAATTCAATTATTTTTAGAGCAGTCATCATTTCGCGAAACCCAGGAATTGCGTTATCGGGTTTTCATTATTGGAGTTAAAACTAATTCTTATAGATATAGATCAGTCGGCCGATATGATCGATATTATAAAATCTCTTGCTCCAAAAACCATAGCTTTCAGAGAAAAAAACTGAATTGCACAGTTAAAAAGAGTGAAAAGTTAGTTGTTAGTTGAAATTCTAGTATCTCACTGGGACCTGATCATTGTGTTTTCGTCATTAACCAAAGCTATGAACGCAAAGTATGGAGAGTCACATGCTCACTGTTGGACGTGCGTGTCTGTGTAGTTCCTCCTCTGTGCATGTGATGATGTCATACATGAGTTGTTGACTTCGATTCTATTGGCAAATATGTTGAGGTCAAAAGGTCAGAATACGTAAATTTTCAATAAACCAAATTGGGGCCCACTGAACTGTCCAATCTGGCCCGTGACTGGGTTTCAAAATAAACACCAAATAACAATATTATACAAGCAGGACACTTTGTCTTGATGACGTGTATGTTAAACACAGTAGAACAAATAGATACTGGTGGTTAGGAAAATGAGTTAAGAGGAAAGTCAAATAAAGATAATGAATGGACGACCTCTGGTCTATTTAGGGGTTTGTGTAAAATTATGTTCTTAGTTATTAAACAATATTGTTTTTTAAGTATGGACGAAAGGGAATAAAAAAGTACTGTAATCGCCAAGCTCTCACTAGCGTAGCTCCTTACCTTTCCACCTGTTGGTGGAGTTAATCAGTGTGATCACCCTCACCTGTGTCTCTGTCATCAGTCTCACTGGTGTCACCTGGTGTCCTGGGTATATAAACCTCTGTCCTCCACACCTTCAGGTTTTGTTGGCTCGTTGTTCTGTGCTCATGCTTTGTGTTTGTTGTTCATGCCTAGTAGTCTGTGCCTGGTTCTTTGTACCTTGTCTTTACACAAATTGATGAATGTTGTGATTTCTCTGAATACTCTTCCTGCACCTAAAGGGAGTCTTCCCTGTGTTGCACTTGTGTGCTGCCTGTTTCCCTGTTCATGTCAGAACTTAACATGTCCAGGGAAATCACACAACTACGCTTATATGTTTTTATACTTATCACATTGATCAAATGTGAATTATTTTATATTGCAGTATTTATTTATTTGGCTGTAATTTGATGTTTTTAAAATGGATTATTTTTACTCTTGCTGCTGATATGAAGAGCTGCTAAACAGCTTCACGTTGTTTCGTTCCAGAATTTGTTTTAATTCTTAACATTGTTTTTTCTGGCATTATAGTGTGCATTGATTTATTGACCAAATCTGTATTATTTTATTATCTCAGCTAATGGGGGAGAAAGACGCATCTTGTAGTATTATACAAATACAAGGAAAGTACAATTTCTAAACAAGACCAAACACAAATAAAAAGACCCAATAAAATGTTATCAAAAAAGCCTGAAGTTACATCTCATATATATGTGTATATGAGATGTAATAAATATGGGACAGAAGAAAAATATTTTGTGTGGATATATTTCATCCCCTGAGCTTTTATTCCACCCATGATTTTCTTTTTCTTTTTCTTTTGCCTGTGCTCCAGGTTTCCAGGACGTCCATGTCATGATCTTTGTTGGATTCGGCTTCTTGATGACATTTCTTAAGAGATACAGCTTCGGCGCCGTAGGTTTCAACTTCCTAATAGCGGCCTTTGGTCTTCAGTGGGCACTGCTCATGCAGGGTTGGTTCCATTCCCTGGATTACACTGATGGAAAAATTAAAATTGGAGTTGAAAAGTAAGTGTTTCTGGTTTTATTCTCAGTGGGAATAAAATTAATGAAAAGTACTGGGATGAGCTGTGAAGTGGATGTTTCATGATGTTGGCTCAGCCTGGTTGGCTCAGCCTGTCTCCAGATCAGAGGAGAACTTGTTCTGCAGCCCTTTGTAGACAGCACTTTCATAGATGACCCCTATGTCAACACATGCTCCAAATCTCCACTGATATTTTATTTATCACGCTCACAAAACTGCTATCTGCATCAAACAAAATAAATAAATAGAGTTCTTTTTTCTACTAAAAGTTCAATTTAATAAGAATTCCAGCTTGCACTCACAGACTGGAGCTAATATGTTGTTACCTCTGTAGTACCTTACAGTGAGCTCAGGAGGTAAATGTTACAGTGAGGTTGGAAGCCACAGTGAATTATTCCAACACTTGGCCACATGTAGCAGCACTTTCTTTTGTCTACCAGTATATTCTACTCCTTTACCACTGAAAATTTACGTTTGTTATTTTCACACTGACCGCCACTAGAGGGCGCACTAGGCTTGTGTATCAGTATCCGCTACTTCTGTATCACTGAGAATTTACATGTTTCTTAATTTTCACACTGGCATCGGCTAGGGGGCACTCGTGGGTCTTATGCTCTGGAGCAACTTATATATGGTTGTTTTTTTTTTTATTATGCTAGTTTTGGCTGGTGTGACTTATAGTCCAGAAAATATGGAAATTAATACAACTCTGCTTAACACAGCACAGCTGCAAATCAAACCAATGATATTTAAGATTGTGAGCTTGTAGATATAAACAAGTAGCACTTGTAGTTAATAGACTGTGATGTTGGGTTTAAAATAACAGATTATAAATAATTATCAAATGCTGTTCCCGTTCTCTACTCCCCAGTCTGATCAATGCTGACTTCTGTGTGGCTGGGTGTTTAATTGCCTATGGTGCAGTGCTTGGTAAAGTGAGTCCAGTTCAGCTGCTGGTTCTCACCCTGTTTGGCATCACCTTGTTTGCTGTGGAGGAATATATCATCCTAAATCTCATTCATGTAAGTGGAAAGCATCAGTTGATAGTGTTAGTGCTGTAAATTTAAATATTTGAATAATATATTTAGCAAGAATAGACCCTCCTGGAATCACTGCTTTTTTCTACCTACACACAACTTTGTATAAGAAGAGTTCATTTAGTCACTATGTGTGATGGTCAACTTCCTTGTGTTATGTTCTCTTGAAGGCCAGGGATGCTGGCGGTTCTATGGTTATCCACATGTTTGGAGCGTACTACGGTCTAGCTATCTCGTGGATGCTCTATCGACCTAATCTGGATCAAAGCAGTCGTCTGCAGGGCTCTGTTTATCACTCAGACGTCTTTGCCATGATTGGTAAGGCATAAATAGAAACTATGGAGCAATTGGGAACGGTAACAACAAAAAAGTCAACGAAAAAGTATCTAGTAATTTTGTTTGGCCAAATGTCATAGGTACACACTTTGCAGTAGCCTGTCTGCTGTCGATCTTCCCATTTCTTGCCCAGGTACTCTCTTCCTGTGGATGTTCTGGCCCAGTTTTAACTCTGCCATTACAGACCACGGTGATGGTCAGCACAGAGCAGCCATCAACACTTATCTGGCCTTGTCCTCGACGGTCCTTACTACTGTGGCAGTTTCCAGTCTCTTCCAGAAACATGGGAAGCTGGACATGGTAATGACCACTACTGTTTGTTTTCCTACAGAAACACTCGTAGGATTTTGTCGTCAGTTTACGACATTGTCCACCTACAGCGTTTCATGGTTATGTCGTTATGTCCCATATATTTGTTTTAAAAAGTCTAGTTCCATCATTCCAACCAATGGAAACTATTTTTTCACAGGAACTAGCTGACAAAGACAGATTTGTTTACATTTCTTTGCTTTCTTTCATTTTTTTTTTATCTTTTTGCCCTTTATTATGGCGTGTAAGTAAGACTCTTCTGATATTTTTATTTCCTAGATTATGAAGGTACCACTGTGTTAGCATAGGTGAGTGCAAAGGTCCTGATGCAAATTCTGACCTATGACATAAATCAAGTGACGTTGCCCTGTAGAAAGAATTCTGACATAAGTTGAGGAATGAATGAATTTCCTTTTTCCTGACCATAACCAATCAACCTCACCCAGCATGGAAGAACCATTTTGTTTTAGTAGTAATTTCATGCAACTGCATCATGAACTATTGTTTCTGCACAAACTAGTTTTAGAAGCCAGGAAACTGCTTTTATGGAAACAAATGCTACTGTATTAATAGTTATTACCCCTGCTACTACAACTGAACAACCACATGTATACATTTCAAAAGAAAATACATGCAGGGTAAGGTCAAATGAAAGTACACTTAATTTTTCATCCATTTTTCAGGTCCACATCCAGAACTCCACCCTTGCTGGTGGTGTCGCTGTGGGAACAGCGGCAGAATTTATGCTGATGCCCTACGGATCCCTGATCGTAGGATTCTGCTGTGGCATCATCTCCACTCTGGGATACATCTACCTGACGGTGTGACATCTCTCTTCTAACTTCAGTTGTCATTGTTTTGGGAATGGCATGTCAGCGTGTGCTTTTAAAAAATACAATTTAAATAATGCCAGCCTCACAACAATTCATTTGCCATGTTTGTTTTGACGCAGTTGTAATGTTGTCGTTGGGAAATGAGCTTTTTCTTCTTTATTACTTTGGTAGATCATGAACTATAACTTTAGATTGGGATCTTCCAGAAAATGACAGATTGCTAAAAAGTTTGATAAAAACCATTAATTCCTCTAATGTACTGAGCCTCAGTTTGACTCAATACATATATTAAATGTATGTTATTATTTCAGCCGTTCATGGAGAAACACCTAAAGATCCAGGACACATGTGGCATACATAACCTCCATGCCTTACCAGGATTTATAGGAGGAATTGTGGGAGCCATTACTGCTGCTGCAGCATCAGAGTCAGTGTACGGTACTGAAGGGTAAGTGGCCCTTAAAACCAAAAATACAAAACTCAGAAATTGTTTGTAACAATTTGTTGGTGTTCCCCAGAGGTTTGTCCTTGGCCCAGAGATGTTAAAAGTCTAAAAAATATGATTTAAAATGTAATTTTATTAAAGGAATATTAAGAACATCACTCTTGATAGCGCCAAATCCCATACACAGTAACATTCCTCTAAAATTGTTTTGTTTATTTATATTCTTGATAACCAGTGGTTCATGTCTTCCACCTATTCAAGGCTAGTAAACACCTTTGACTTTGAGGGTGAGTTCAAAGACATGAAACCCACACGTCAGGGTGGTCACCAAGCTGCAGGCATGTGTGTAGCTATCTGCTTCGGCATAGGTGGAGGCATCCTTGTAGGTATGGGACTGACTAATATTTAAACGTTGCAATGAGATATTGTTACAGTGGGTGTATTCGAGAAAGCCCTGTGTGTGTGTGTGATCGTACGTGTGGCTTCTCCCTCAGGCTGCATTTTGAGACTACCCATATGGGGAGATCCTGCAGATGATAACTGCTTTGACGATGAAGCCTACTGGGAGGTGAGCAACAAAGTTGTGAACACGTTTTAGTCCTTGTTTGAAAAGAGGGGCGATCAGAAGATGTGGGTTTGCCGACAGGTTTACTAAAATTTCACATGGTTTTTAGTTGAGCTGTGAATTACTTAATGTATAAAATATGAAACATGATTTAAAATTTCACTAAGACAATGATATTACACAACCCTAGCGTTAATAATATAATAGAAAGGTTAAAGGAGACGATACATGTTGGTGGAAATGCCTGCTGAAAGTTTGACATCCTTGAACAGGGGGTCCTCATCTTCCAGTTTCCAGTAGCGATGCAACTCAAATTTTCAAACTTACATACAATTATGTATTACATATCGCAAAATCTGTAGGAACCTGTTGGTCGGGAAACTATTGTCATAGTTAACAATGAAAACACGAACCATAGGGCAGCCTGTGGCAGCAGATCTGCTGTTAATGCAAGAATTTCCCAATATGGGATCAATAAAGTTCAATTTATATATATATATATATATATATATATATATATACACATATACACACACATATACAAGCACTTCCACATAAACGTCCAAAAATAAATATATACCTAAGATGTCTTAGACTTAAGCTGAGATATTGGTATCAGTAGAGAGTTTTTATTGGCTAAAATTACTTTCTTTCTTTACCCTTAAACAGCCCTTCTTTCCACACGTTATTCCATAAACATACTTGCTGTACTTCTGCTGGTCTGTGTCCCGAGTCTATTTATGAGTACTCCAACTCTGGTCGATACTGTACTGTTCTAAGTACTGTCAATTATTTCTCAAGACAACAAAAGTTGCATATAGTATGTGCTATCTTTTAAAGCAGGGGTCCCAAACAGTTGTCTGAGGTCGGACTAAGTGCCATGTAAATGCGTTTAGCTGTTTTGCATTTAATGATAAGCTTCCAAGTAACATACATGTTAACATCTTTATTATTTATTCATTTATTTTTTATTGAATTTGTTGTACATTAATTTGGTTAAGTCGGCCGAAAGAAGTCCCATCTTCCATTTTGTAGCTGCGGTTATTGCAGCCCTCTGATGTAAAGCAACACTCCCTGCATCTCCCTGATTGTTCACAGGTTCCTGAAGACGAAGAAAGCATCCCACCGATCCTGCAGTACAACAACCACATGAGAAACAAGGACGTGTAAGTGTCGAATCGACAGCTTTGCTCCTAAACTGCTCGCTCTGCTAAAGCCTCGAAGGCAGTGTTTTAGCGGAAAGAGCTATTGCATTTGTCCTCTTGATGGCAGCACATCACACTTTTCAAATTACACGTGGCTTTTGTAACGACTGAACCTTGTGGTGCAGTATGTTTGATGGTGTTGGATGGAGTATAACTACAGTTGTGTGTTCATGTCCCTGTTACTCAGGGTCATGAAATTCAGGGAGTAGATATTCTCCGTGCAGTTTTGTTTTTTATCGCAGCAGTGATGTTATTAGAATATTATATATTTCTTCAAGCCATTAATGTTATACTTTCATGTCATATGTGTCATTGAAATTGCAATGTTTTGAAATATTTACCTGTACTGTCCTTTTTTCTTTCTTTCCAGAACGGAGTCAAATTTCACTGTGGAGCAGAACTGATGTTAAGCCTAGATTTTTAAGGCTCTTGATCAAACAAACAAACAAAATAAATGAATGAATCCAGCAAATTTTGTAATTTGAAATATTTACCTGTTGTTGAATTTAAAATATTGTGATCTTCTCAGTGTTTGTTTTTAACATTTATGTTTCTCTGAGCAAAGAAAAAAAAAGTTCAGCTTCAAGTTCAAAACTTCAAAATCAAATGAATCAAATCTAGATCTAGTAATCTTTACTTGTTGCATCGAGGACTTTATAGATGTTTATATATGTCTACTCACACCTTTCTATGGTAATCAAGGCTCCATGCTGAAGGGACAAAAACGGATAATTGTAAAGAAATGTCACATGTGCATACTCAGGATTTGTGTCAGTCTTCGGTTTTCTGATTGTTTGCAGTTTCTTCTTTTTAGAATTATTTAGAAACCCTGCACCTGTGTGTGTGTGTCTGTAATTTATAGGCACTAAATAATAATAATTCCCTTATTATTCCCCCAATGGGCAAATTTATAGTGGGAATCCTTGCAATCGACACAGGCTGCAATGGCTGTCTTGGTCATAATTGAATTTGTTGTGTTTTTGGTTATATGAATTATAAAATATTCAGATTTTAAAATGAATGTGTCATTTTGCTCATTGAATATTACACTGTCCTAAAACTTTGTCAAGTGCACTTTAAATGTTGCAGACAGTGCATTACAGGCTGTGATGATGGTTTTGTTTTAAGTTAAATCATTTTGAATTTAATCGATTTAAAAAAAACTGTGCAGTGTGTTGGATGGATGGGATCAGACTGCAGATAAAGGTCAGGTGTTTATATTCTCCCAACCTACTCTACATTACTGCAGTTATCTTAAATTATCATTGATATTTTTTGTGAAGCCTGTAAATGTTTATCATACTGTTTGTAAAGTTGCTGTAGGACTTAAGAGGACTATCGATGTGGAAAAACATTAAAACTTTTCATTCGCTACGGTGTTTTCTCTCTCGTGGGGTCAAGCTGTGGGAAAAGGTCAAACCCTTATTGGTCTTTGAGGGCACTGTGGTGACCAAAAACAGAAGCAGGTTCTCATAAAGTCAAGAAAAAGGCATGACTTTAGGTCAGCATATACACTTAGTATTCCACTCATTTAATATGTATGCACATGTATGTATACATAAATATATACTGCAAATGGCTGCTTTGCATGCAGTAGATGTTTTCACCCCTCCAACATGAAGACAGGCAGTGTGACAGGCAGAGGAAAAATACTGTAATACTTAGTGTAATAAGAACCATCTCCAGTCGTCAAGCCCCGTGTAACTATCTCTTCTCCAAATAAATAGTAGAATGACGGAGGGCTACGTGTTAAATAAGAGGGCAGCGCCATCTTTTGGCTTAAATTATGTAATTCAATAAAAGGTGAGTTTAGTGTTAAACTTAAACACGCCAGGGAGGAGGCTGTTACTTTAACATCAACCTTTCATCTGTCCATCCATCGGTAAATAAATCTACTTAAATGATAAATAAATTAAAAAATTAAAATGAATAAGATTAATATATTATCACTTCCCAGTAAAAGATACTAATTTTGTTCCCCTGTCCCCTGTTCACCTGGCTGCAGCAGCAGCAGCAGCTCGTGGTGAGAGTATGAATGATTCCCACACATGAGTAGCAATGAGGAATCCAGCCTTGTTGCTAACAAAGGCAGGCTTAGCACTGTTTTCTTTTGTCATCAGTAACCTGTATGAGTTAAGAAGGTAATGGTGCCACAAGTGCTCCAATTAAACGAGATGTTGCCCCGCTGGGAAGAAAGAACCTCCCCATTGCCCTGGATGCCCCCCTTTCTCTACCCCCTGTGCCCAGTGCAGACACACACACACACACACATACACAAACTGGACCTCTTCTCATCTTCATACAGTCCCTGCTCCAGTGATACTCATGTTTATTCATCAGCCACTTAAAAGGCGAATGCAGAGGTCGGTTAAGCCTAATTCAGACTTCTTTCAAAAAAACACCAGTCATCCCTGTATGAGCACGACAGCGGCGGGACTTATGGTACGGTGTCAGCCACGTCCAAGGATGTTTGCCTTCAAGTGAAGCCACTCTAACCGTATTTGTAGTCTTAAATCAGAGAAAGCACAGAGTATACGGAAAACGTGGTTGAGGAGGAAAACCCAGAGGCCACGGTGAAAGTAGGATAAAGAAAAAAACGTAAAAATGCATCAAAATAGGGAGGAGCCGACAGAGAGCGAGGCCTCACTTTCACAGCTGACGACTGACTGCCTGCCACAGAGGCTCAATCATGATCTCTGAGTGACAGGTCCAAGGAAGCGCAGGGTGGGAAAGAGAGTGCAGGAGGAGAGTTCTCAGAATGGGAGCTGCACAAAACACAGTCCCACACAGGGGGACCACAGAGACTCTCATTAATGAGAATGAAAATGCCTGGAAAAGCATGTTTTCTCCGCTTGCCAGCTATGTTGTTTGTTGCTTCAGTTTAATTTGCAATCTTCTTTATGTAACAAAGTAAAACCTAAAGATAACAATTCAGCGTGGGAGGTCTCACAATGTCACAGCACCACGTGTCGGCTTATGGGCTGTTTGCTGTTTCTTTGGTTTGGCCGCTATTTGAGAATACAATGTAATATGTGGTACTTCTTGTCCGGCAGTTTATTGAGAGTTGTCAGTCACTCAATAGTAAAGTCCTATACTCACAGTTTATAGTTACAAGGTACAGTCTTTAAAGACGCATTGAGGAATCCATGTTCACTGGCCTATAAAAAGAGCTGTAAACAGCCCCTACTAAAGGCACCCAAACTCATCAAACTGTTCATAAAATATTCAAGCCCCATTTTTTTCTTTCTCTACATAGTCTGCTTACCTTCGAAGCAGCTTCACTAAGCAGTCCACAACTGGGCCTCACCAATTTTCACATACAAATAGGAAAAGAAATACCAGAATATAGGTCTGACCACTGTAAGAGAACAGTTTAGACTGTTTTTGACTGTTCTGTTGTTGATGCTTGTGACCTTGACAACAAAAATGTAATGCATTTAAGCTCTTACACACATGTGCTACTGGAAGCAACATCACCAAGAGACTGGCTGTAAAGTAAAGACAGTAGAATATAGAAAAATCATTTCATCCATATAATAATATATTAAAATGAAAGTTAGTTATGCTAATAGTGTTTGTGCCAGCAGAAGTTTCCGGCATTTTTCAGCATAGCTGCCATGTAAGTGTTAACTGGCCTTAATTTGTCTTAACAACAATATAATGTTTGTAAAGTTATTGTAGTAACAGTCACAACAGTGGTTGATGACAGGACCGACTGTGCTTAAGAGGCTAAGTCGGCTACTCGGTGTGTACAGCTAATTATTCTATTTTGGTGGAATAACAGAGGCAAGCCCGTTTTCTGAACTTCTTCTGGTTAGCATGTTAGAGTGGAGGCCTGTCATATGTACTACAGTTGTATTCAGCAATTCCAAATAAGCATTTAATTATCTTGCGCAGGGTCTCTGTGAACTGGACAAGATCACTCCACACCTGGAGCCTACACAGTCATTTAGCAAAACATTTTGACTTCCACATTTTTTTTAGTAAAGTCCTGTTTATTGACATTACCACTTTTCAGAAGGTTAAGGCCTGTAATGTTGATTTTTCCATTTGCCTTTGACTATCAGAGTAGTCAGTGTTAGATTGGATTAGATGAAAATAGTGATAATAGCTAAAGAAAAGATGACTGAATCTTCTACTTAACTTGAGGTTCTGAATTGCTTTACCGACATTCAAAATATTTTGCTGCTGCTCTTTTTCTTCAACACTGATTAACCTCATAGCTCTGACCCAGGTATCCCCAGGTCTCCCCATACAACTTAATGTGTACAGAGCCTGCTTAAGTATCCCTAACGGACCACAGTGGAGAGGAACAGCAGATTAGCCATGATCCTATCCGCTCACCACTAGCGCCTTCATACGCTCCGTTACACCAGTATTTAAAAGGAGGTGGGGACACCATTCAGACCCATGATATGAATCCCAGACATGGGGACAAGAACAGAGCTTTCACCCTGACTCATAGAAAAGATCCCCTTTTTGGCACCCTCTAATTCTGGTTGCTACGGGCATTGGAGTTCAATGGTGGACCCCTGTTGTGAGGGGACAAAGCCTCTCAGTCATCCGGCCGGTGTTGCTAGGGGAGGCAGAATGTATGGGGAGGGACGGGTTGCCGTTGTCCCAGACGAAATGTCTCTCTTAAGGCAGCCGAGATGTGGTGATTGACAGGTGGCTACACACTCCACTGCAGATCATGCGGGAGGTCTGGGAGGCCTCATATTTGAGAATATGTGTTTGAGTATTTGTGTGTGTGAGAGAGAAGGAGGGCGGAGGAGAGGAAGAGAGAGAGAGGCCATATACATCAAGGGATTTTGTTATGAAAGTGCTACAGATGATTACCTGTAGAGGGAGCTGCACCTGCTTCTATCGATTAAAGAAATGATATAATACTTTTTTAATTGAAGTTACAGTCTTATTACAACAGCGTCAGTGAGAAAGTCCTACAGTCAAATATTCATATGACAACAACAACAATAATAATGATAAAAAATAATGCAGTTAGATATTAAATCTACTTTTTATATTCTTGTATAGGTGAGACAGATCATCTTCTGTCGTCCGATTGTCATATGTTGAGTTTAGGTCAAAGGAAAGCAGAGAAGGTGAGCATCACAAGTTTTGAATTAGAAATAACATAAAGATAAATCTATTTATATCACACACAAAAATATATTGTATTTTATCTGTGTGTAAAGTGTGTTAAGTGTACACAATAATACAACTAAACTTGCTCAATAAACACACAAAGTTGATTTGTTTTTCGGCCATTAGTAATATAACATTAAATAAGGAATAAGAGTTGAGTGACTGATTTAAATTTAAATTTATATCACAAAGATGTGGATTTGTGTTTATCTGCATTTGAATCGTTTGATGTATTCAGACGTCTGATGTGGTGTGGGAAATATCACTCCTGTCTGTCTCTAGGCATCAGCAGCCCCTGTTTGCTCTTCCAGGGCCACAGAGGTGAACGGGAGCCGACATGGTAGGATGTACAGCTCCAAAGGAGTTTCACACACAACCCCGTCTCCCCTCAAACAGACGTCTGGGACTGTCTGGGTTCTGCACTCCCAGACACAGGGCTCTCCAGCCGTCAGATGCTGCTCAGACTTGTCACCTCCCCCACTTTCCTCTTCCCCTTGACCTTGACTTTGTCACCGCGGACCTCCAGACAGTCTGGGGTCAAGGGGTAACACAGCAGCCACACATCAGATATGGTTTGAGTCCCCTGTGTCCATATAAATGCTGAATAGTAAATCAGACCAAAATCAAACCGTAGGAATGTGGTTTTGGAATTCCTGCAGACACATTTAAGGACCACAAGGAAACGTGGATAAATGACTAGAAATAACAACTGTAAAAACAAATTGATTACATGATTGTATTATATAAATGCACAGGATTACAAGTAAAGGTTTATTTGAGAAAAACAAAAAAAAAAACAAATTGTAAACACGAGTTTAAGAATTTTTTTTAACAGTCCAAATATATTTTACTTACCGTTGCATTATTCAATTTTCATTCACTCACCTCTTTGTTACTCGTTTAACATTTGAATCCTGTTTTCCTTGCCCTCAGCCAATCACAGCCTAGCTCCCATGATGCCACTGCAGATTTAAGTGAGAGGAAACGGCTTTAGCTTTACATTTTTGAAAAATGCCAACACATACTGGGTTTAGCTCTGATGTCTTTATTTAATAATATTTTTCCTATATGTGGGAAATATTTCTCAATCCTTCACTGCTCATAAAAATCATAGTTTCCTCCAATCATTTAGAAAATCAGCCTCCATAAACCACAAGCGCAAAGGGATGATCCTGGTTTTTTTAAGCATCAACTGCACCCTATAACATTCCCAGGTACATAATCAAGGAGCTCTGCATAAAGAAACCTACTTTGGCATAAAGGTGCACTGGATGAGTCTCAGCTCCGTTGATTTTTACTGTCTTAGTCTAGTTTACTGATGTACTCCTATTTTGTGAGGCTGCCAAGGTGTTTCACATCTTTATAGTCTTTAGAGGTTTTCTGTGTCACTCTGTTTTCCAAATTTTCACATCACTGTAAGCCTTTAAAGTCTACACAGACCTTTAAGCCGCCTAATGTATTCAGCAATGAGGATCTAGACAATGATGTATGGGGAGGCAACGCAGGAGGAGGGATGACAACATATGGCAAAAGTACATATACTGATTAATTTACAGTTTCACAAGAATCACTAGACAGATGGATGTATTTCTTAACTTTTTTTTCATTCAAGATTTAATACATACTGTAAATTAGGACTCAAAGCTGTGGATATGTATACATTCATAAGGCTACTGGACAATTACGTCCAGTAAAAGTCTGGTGCATTGATGAGGATAAAAATAATATAAAGAAGAAAATAATTTATCACAATTTCTACCAAGTTTTCTGTGCTTATGAATTTAATTTGAAACTGTCTCTCATTTTCTCTCTCTCTCTCACACACGTTGATTACGGAAATCTCCATCTACTCATAGACACAATATAAAACTGCAATATCGTAAGAATGTATTAATTATATCTCTGCAAAACCAGGATTCGTTTAGTTCATGTAACTACGTTCGACTCGCGTTCAACAGCACGGTCGAGAAGCTAAAAGGAATCTAGCCATCACGGAACATTTAATAATTATTGGTAACTGTCCCTGTAGACATAAATATGTATTTATTTTTCCTATGTATATGGGGTTTTTCTATTGCACCGATAGTAAGGTATGTATTAAACTGTCAATGAAGATATAAGTATATCGATTTTTTTTTTTAAATTACCTGTCTATTATGTGTTCGACAGTGTGTATCCTCTGTCATTAACGGCATAGAAATGAGAGGCGGACCACACTGTCGTAATCATATCACACACTAATCAAGTGACATGTGACTGCAGTAAACACGCCTGTAATGTCGTAAATTTGAAACAGGGCTGCAAATTAACTAGAGGTAAATCAAAACATTAAAAAAAAACAAACAAACAAAAAAAAAAAAAAAAAAAAAAACAGAAATACAAATACACGCCGTTTTTTCCTAGTGGTTTCATACCCTCGTCTAAAGAAGGAAGCTAGACAATTCCAAAGGAAACATTTTCCCCACAACATATCTTATTTATCCTTCCTCTAAAAATGTGCAAATATATTGTAATGTGCACCTTTTTAAAAAAGGAGAATAAATAAGGTAAAACGTGGACAACAGTATTTTCAGTGAAAAGAATAATTAAATGAAAACACTGTGGAAAACTCTATGTAAGATGTGTATGCTGTTACAAATAAATTATTATTTAAAAATATATATTTTCATTTACATAGATTAAAACATATTTGTCACATGAAAGTGAGTTTTTAATGTACATACAGACAACACATATGAACTTGTTATTTTGAAGGAAGATAAACTTTAAAACACTATTTCAATAACAATTCTGTTGTGTACTAAGATTTCTGAAAAATCTTCTTGTCAAATAAACCTTAGCTTTTCGTTCACAACAATAAAATTTACATTTTGGTAAAATAAACTATACAGAATGTAGTTACAGAATAACAAACACTGGACCATTTTAATTTTAAATGTCATATATTCCTGCACATACAGTGAGTGCTAAAGTGAGGAAATGTATAAATTAAAGTATATGGAGTGCATTTTTAATTTATTCTGTATTAACCAAATGTCACTGAAAAATGCCTCTTGGATGTTAAACCATTTGATTATACAGTCCAGACTCTTTAAGAATGAGAAAAGGGCCTCTTCTTATTCCAAACAATCTCTTCCTTCCAAAGTGCAGAGGCCCAGAGGCAGGACTTGGTGAAGAGTGTTGCCTCCAGTTAGCGCTGGAAGTGCGACAGTGGATTGGCTAGCGAGGAAGGACTGGTAGGATACCTTGAATTAGGCTGATTAGAAGTTTAGATGAGATCCAGGCTGAGGTTGCTGTGAAAGGCGGCCCAGCGGCCGTAGAGTAGTACTATTCACAGCTTGGGAGAAAGGTCAGTGTAGGAGGAGTTCACAGGCCCCATCCCCTTTCTTATGCTAAGGGTTCATACACATTGGCTCAGTCAGAGACTAGAAAAGGCATAAACAGCTCCATAGATCGACTTTCCCTCCAAAATGTTGAATTCCTTGGCTGGAGTTATAAAGTCTTTTTATTTCAGATTATTATTATTATCATTATTATTATTATTATTATTATTATTATTATTATTATTTCTACTACTGATCAAAAGTGTTTGTGTGTGTCTTAAAGATCCTCTTAACTAAATACTGAAAGCAGTACAATTTTTCTGAAGGTGGATTTTGCCCAATATTACATTTTTATATTATTAAAGATGAAAAAAATTTGTTTAAAAAAATATCATGTGACATTATTATAAGGTTATACTGTACTATATGACCTAATGTTCAGAATTGTTCAAGAAGATTTTAAAACTTGCTCTAGTCGTAAATGTAATGTGTTTATTATCCAAGTGTGAAGTGTGTGGTTTAAATTGGCGTTAGTAATAAAAATGGAACAATGCTGTTTGCTTAATCTTCTGTTATAGTTAATAGTTAATGTCCAATAACCGGGTTTTTTATGAACCTATACATAAAGAGTTATTTCTGCACTTCTTTGTCCATTTCTGAGTGTTGTGGTCACTAGGGAGCTGTAGGAAGTTGCCACTTAATTAGTGGTCCTTGACCTTTGGCTTCTGTTCAGGCAGATCCTGACCCAGGCATCTCTCCAACCTGGTTAATGTCCTCTGGGGAACTGTCCAGGTCATGACCCCCTGATCCCTACTGACCCATTAGGGGACTTTACCAACAGGTCCCTAACCAGCTGCCCTTCCATGGAAAGCACTTAAACGGCGAAGAAAAAAAAACAACATTTAACTTGGGTGACTTATTTGGGAAATTATCCTTAAGGGATGATAGAACACTGACACTGCCATGATTATAGCTGGCTTACCCATAATTGTTGGCAGAGAATAACAACAGCAAAGCTTGGGGAAAATCCAACAGAATGTAAAGTATTTGAAATGATGAAAATCATGAGAGCATAACAGTTTTTTTTTTCCTTCGACAATGTCATTTGAACGTTTAGGTCTTGGTTCTACTTGGGCTCAGCAGAGGCTGATTTCACTAATTTGTTTCCATTCAACCAGAGAGGGGAACTAATCATTGAAAATCAGCCTCCGTAGTGTTAGAATGAATGGAAAACATACTGAATCCTGATGGCACTCGAACAGGGAACTCTCCTCTGTTTCGGGAATTTTAAGTTAAGATTTTATTTTTTAAAAAAGGACTTCCTTCTCCGTCTGTTCAAATTCAAGTGACTCCCTTAATTGCAAGTTCATTTCAATATAATTATTGCCTATATTTCAGTAGTGCCGCTAACTTGACAACAGGTAACACATCGTCTGAATATTTGAGGGCGAAATAATCCGGTCGATCCTGCTTGGGTCCATCTGTTCCTTGATTCCAGCTACAGATTAGTAGGACTGATTGAGTTCGGATGGACACCAAGATACCATGTGATCCCTAAAACTGATTAATTGTCAGCAGAAATTCTGCAATGAGCCTGGTTGTAAAATGACATTTGTGCTTCATTTGCCTAATAAATAAAACGTGACGGCAACAGAGGAAACCTCATTATGTGTTTAATAGCAGCTGGGGTCACTGTGGCTATAAAAGTTTGTAGCTGATGAACTTTTTCGTACGTACATTGATTCAACACACGTCGCTCTGTCTGCTCTGTCTGATTAAAACTTAATGCAAGGTCATTCAAACACATTCTCACATGATCCTCAGGCACACGCACACACAAGTCCATTTCAACATCAGTAAAGGCTTTCACACATATTTTCTTTCTTTTCTTGATATATATTTATAATTAAATGTGGTAATGTACATGTAAAAACATATATAAACATATATACCTATATAATAATAAGACATCACAAATACACATATATACGATTTTTATTTCAAGTAGGTTTTATTAACATGAGTAAATGTAAGGTTTAGGAGCCACACATGAAAATCACTGAAATGAAAACACATACAATATATTTATTATATTTCCCCTACATGTGTCTACAGGTCACTGTTTAGCTGACTAACGATGCAGGGAGTAAACAATAGTGATGACAGAGTTTCTTTGACGTCGGCTCACAGCTTCCTCTCTTTAAGACGTAGCGTCCTGCAGAGTTCAGAGGGTCTCACCGTCCTGAGAAAATAAAATGATGGAGGGAATAATTAGCATGAGAATCAAACTTGGACTCTAAACGTCTCCTTATAACAGTAAATGGGAAAAAAAAAAGAAAATTAGGACAGAAAGAAACCATAAATAGTATTTGAAAATAATAATAATTAAAAGCTGTATACAGAACTTTCGACATGACCCGTACACTTGCTGTCATGTAAAACCTGATCCATTGAAATACATATTACCAATGACTCCAAAAATGACCATTTGTTTCAACAGCATTAGATTTGCAGTGGTGTGGGATTTCTTTTTAGTTTTAGTTTAGTTTAGTCAAATACTGCAGCAAAGTGTTTAACTAAAACAAACTTCCTTTTCATGCTCTTTAAAAATAGGCCCCTTTGCTCTGCATGTTGTTCTTCTCTCCCATTTTCAGGCTGTATGCACTGAGAGATCTTAGGGCTTTTATCCCCACAGGGAACCAGCCCAAACTCTTTCTCTGTCAATTTTCACCTTCTCCCCAATTCAGACAAGCCCTTTCTCCCACCGAGCTCACAATGACGGATTTGTCCTCGTTCTCTTTGTCCACGTCTGATATCTTTTTATGACTGCTCCCTCTCTGCAGACGGCATGCAGCGAATGCAAATACTCTTTCATGGACGAGACCTCTCCCCTGAATGAATGCAGCCTTAAATGAGGCCACACTTTTGCAGAAGGGCACGGAAACACCCACATATTACAATCAGTGGATTTGCATGCCTGCTCCTGACACGCAGTCACTCAAACATCAAACGTGAAACACAGGAAGACTCGGGCAGACAACTGTCCCTGATGATTTCATCTTTCGTTCAATGCAACAAACTCTGAGGCTGTGAAACTAGGTTTAACTGCTGGTCCAAGATCGTCACGAGCAGATTTTTGATGTAACGCACTGTGTATGAGCGGCTAGTTCCTTACTCTTCTTGAAGACGTTGGATTGATATTTATCTGGGAAGAAGGACAAGGTTGGTCGGTGATGAATGAGGGCTTTCAACATGAAAAGTTAAAAGCTAGATTCTCTGATAAATTGATTTTTTTCTTCTACTCGTGCCTGTTTAAAAAGGCTTCTTATGAGCACTGCAGTAATATCTTGTAAACATAGACACACACACACACACACACACACACACACATACGACCACAAACTCATGTAACACCCTGATGAAAAATTATAATATAATATAAAGTAATATATAGCTAACTTTTCCTAATAGACCATTGTGTCATTTGTGTGTGTGTATGTATTAATGTATGTGTGTGTCTACAGTTTGTGTGTGTGTATGTGGGGGGGGGTTTGACGTCTGCTGGACAGCCCTGACAGTTTGGCCTTTTCAGTGGTACATTACTGAGGCGGCCGGCCTCTTTCCCATAGCAACCCTAACAGGGGTCAAAGGCTATTTACCCAGGCACCCCTCACCCCACCGCCCTCCATCCACCATCACCTCCTCTCCCCCCTTTTGTACTCCGGGGTGGCCACAGACTTGACTAACTCATTGACAAATCACAGACTAGACAAGTTCACGGGCTGTGGGGTGACTCTAGCCATGAACTTGAAATTGACAGAGTCGGGCGCCATGGTAATGTACCAGTGTATGGACAAATGTGTGAAAACTGTAGCGTGATTACCAATATTCCCCTACACTTTTGAAAATAAACATTAAATAAGTAGTTGCGAACACAAAACTGCAGCACCGAGGATTCCCCTAATTCGTCTGAAGCTACATCTCATCTCCTCCTGAAATGATTAGAAAGGCCCTCAGTATTAAAGGCTCAGTCACCTAATTCTCCTCTACTTTCATTGTGGCGTACAGGACCCCCTACTCAGAGTGGCCTCAGTCGACAGACTGTAATCTGAAAAGCCTGGGATGCAGAAAGTTCTCTCCATCTTCCTCTAAGATACTTACCATCAGGCTTTGTGCCAGATTAGTCTCGGCCAAAGTTGCATTAAAGAGCCCGCATGAGCCTCGCTTGACCCACATTGGACATGATCCAAGACTATAGGCAACCTGGGCCTTTATACAAATATATCACAGCAGAGCCGTTAGAACATTAATAGTGTCTCACACACAGTGGAGACAATCCGCAGGAGTTACCCAGGAGCTACGTAGATGGTATTAACACTTCATTGTCACTGCGGCCAGGCTGCTGCACTGACACCGAGAGAAAAATAAACGCCAGCCTCGCTGTCACGCCATCATGTCACACATCTTTATTTACATGCTCTGAAAATGTCCTACATTAAGAGCAATAAAAAGCTAATAAAAGTGATCAAAGGCCACTGACAAATTAGAGTAAGGTCATCATCTTTGGACTGGGTTTTGATATTTTCCAGTCTGGTGTCAAAGTGAGCGCCACATTTTTTTAAGTCTGTGTGTTTTTCTAAACCTTCAGAGATCCACAGAAGTTTAAATCCTGATGACACAGTCAAAGTCGAATCTACTGACCTCCTGTGGAGACAGGACATTGTTTACACCAATATTTATTCTTTTTTATCAATTTTATAAAAAAAGATTTTATCTTTACCAATATGAAAATCTATATGTCAGAATTGTAAAGGATATAAAACTGATATGCTGTGAAACATACCAGAGCAAATGTTCTTCCACAAGAGCGTAGTGTGGCTAATACATTTGCTTTAGCCCCTGCCACTCTTTCACCGTCGCCGTCACCTGCCTTCGCTCTCACATTCATTTAGGCAGCCATTCATCGAGCGTCACTCTTTTCAAACACACACACAAACACTAGCATACGACAGTGTGTGCCCAGCTCCATGTGGCTGCGGCCCACTAGCATAACACCGTACATGCTAACACAAGCTAGCTTCCTGACCAAACGGCAGTGATACCAGCCTCATAGTCATTTTCATGATGATCGAATGAAACCATTTTTAAACCATACATTATGTTTTTCGTAGACGAGCAGCACAGATGCAGTGACACGGGCAGCTCCGAGTCTTTACACCCACGCACACACCCAGTGGAGGTAGAATGTACAGTGCATAGCTCATTAATAATCATAATCCGCTGGTTACATCACACCCTTCGTCTTAGCTGAGTCATTCACAGTAAAACCACGTGCACACAAAAACACGTCTTTTGTGATTTTTTTTTTATTTCTCCCATAAACCTGAGATAAACCGGTAAAAAGGTGAAGAATCAAACACAAATACAGCTGATGACAAGAGGTTAAATCTGAAATCTGAAAAAATTAAATCGCATGAATACACATTAATTGTGTGTTGATTGGTGTATAGGCTTCAGTGTGTATGCATTTCCAATGTGTGACTGCACACACACACACACACACACACACACACACACACTTCTCCATCTCCATGTCTTTCAGACATGCAGCAAAGGCTGAATAGACTAATGAACAGTCAGGTGGCACCCCCAGAGCCTACACTACAGCACCCCCACCACCCCACCCCTTTACACACATACTAACATATCACACGCATACACACTGGCAACGGCACACATACTACAACACAGCGTCTGGCTCGACCCTGGTGATCTGCACGACAGTCTAATGTCTCAGGCATCTGCTCATGTCTCGTCTGGAGGGTCTTTCCCACCCTGCCCCCAGCCCAGGCCCGCCACCGCACCAGAAACCACAATGGTGGGAAAGTGGGCTTTTTTTGAGAGGGGGGAGGTAAACAGCTATTGAGGTGATGGGGGTGAGTAAGAGAGAGAGAAAGAGGGAGAGAGCCTGAATGATAATGTGAAAATGCACAGTGCTGTTCATTAACAAACAATCACCAGAGCTGCATATGTTGGCTCTCGACAAGGACACACACACACACACACACACACACACACACACTACTCTCTGTCACGGAATGCTTCCAGGGACATTTGGTCTCTTGCGCTTATGTTTTTTTCGGAGCAAATTAAGACAAAGATCTTAATCGGGTTTGTTAATAAGAACACAACCGTCTTCAACAAAATAAACTACATTTTAAGACGTTTGACATGAAATAATCACAGTCTCGTGAGGAGGAACCACTGAGGATGGCGAGTGTCAGGGAGAGAAAGGAAGCACCGTGACAAGAGAGGATGGCAGTTTTCCTTCAACCAGTGCCAGCTCATTAATTTTTTTCTGCCCCACCAACCCCCTCCTTTAACCACTGCCACCAACCACCAGCCGCCGTTATTTATCCCCACCACCACCACCACCCTATCACCTTCTTAACTGCTAATTAGCAAGAGCAGATGATGGAGAAGAGGAGGAGGCCATGTGTGACTGAGGAGGAAATGGAAAACTCTTCTTCTTTCTCATCTTTTCCCTTCCCCCCAAAATCTCACATATAAACACACACACACACACACAAATATACACGAACACCTCCCGACAAACCAACTAAATCCTCATCGGCATCCATCAGAAATCCACGATGCTGCTCACCTTGTGTGCCAGCCCAGCCATTTTAGGTATCACGGCAGCATCTCCCAAGATGGCTTCTTCAAATGTGCCCATGCTCGGGGGACGTGGCCGCGTTGTCCTCCGACCTCCTGGCACAGGCAAATTGTTCCCCGTTGGCAGTACAGATGGCATTAGAGGCTACGGGGTAAAAACGGGGATGAAGAAGAGGAGGAAGAAGGCAGTTTTGGAGTGACTGTGTTTTCCTTTTTTTCCTCCCCCCGCTTCTTGTTGTCTTTTAATCGTGGTTAAAGCCTCTTTTCAGGGAAACACCAACCCTTCCGTGCTGGTAATTGAAAACCTGTAGAAAGAGAAGAAAAAAAGAAAAGACCGGAATAAAACGTGAAAAGTATTGTACATTTTGGAGTGAGTCGAATGCGGCCATGTGGTCATGGGATCCTAATGAAAAGATGTTCACTTATTCAGGGAGCTCTCTTTGTGCGCGTGGGTGAGTATCTTTGCTACAATAACAGCATGAAAGGAGTCATTAGACATGTGCACAGGTTAAAACAGGGATGCTTTGGACCGTCCTGCACATAAAGGCTGGAGTGCTTCCATTCTCATTCATTATGGGGGCGTGTGACGGAGAAAGCTCGGGGAGAAAGACTCTGACCTTGGCCTTCTCTCGCATCCAGCATCTTGTAGTGAAATGAAGCAATTAGCCCAGTTTGACGGCCAGCTCTGCCGCGAATGGTAGTTAACTGAGTGAATGAAAACTCTCACTCTGGCGCTCTATAAACTTTGCCTAGGATTCTGTGTACCACTGTGTTTGCTCTGCACAGTGCTGAAGAAAGGTTGAAAGGTTCAGCTCCGGACCACGGCCCTGGGCTTCTTATTGAAGCAACAAACAATGTTGCCACAGGCTTTAAGCAACGATAAAAAGAATGCAAGACCAATTGTGTGTGTTAATAACGTGTGTGTGTGAGTGTTTCACCCCTCGGCATTGTTAGTAGTCCAGCAGACTTCATTACCTGGACAAAGCACACAGTTCTCTCTGTTTGTTCCTATCAGTGTCCCAATTGAAGGTGAATGTTTATATGTTTCTTTAAATAAACTGAACTAAAATCAGTCCAGAGATAAAAAAAATAAAATAATAATAATTCTGCACGGTAACTCTGTGTTCCACATCAGGTGCTCGCCAATGAAAACAAGGAACCTTTGTCCACAAAATACGTGAGACTGAGTGCCAGACAGAAGAATACAGCATCAGCAATACACCCTGCTTCAATTTCAACTCGCTCTTAGCAAGAACAAAGGTACACTGCAGGAGTAAACAATTAATAACACACCAATATTAATAATGATACATAGCTCTTTTAGCATTAGCTGATTTCTGACCTTTAGCTGTTAATGTTACACACATTACTGTACTGATGTTTGTAACATTGAAACTGTCTGCTGTGGACATGGAGACTTCTCGTCAACTTCCATTCAAAGAAGAAAAAGGGAACCATTTTCAGGTTGTCCCTCCATCAGAGGGCACTCAGGTGCTGTTCTTAAAACATCCCAACTGGGACTGGGGACAAGACAGAATCAAAGTGAGGAACTGTGCACTTTTTCTCTCACTAAATTATTATCCCAATAATAACAACAACAATGATATTATTCTTCGGAATGCACATCGACAAATATCAGGTCTCATTAACTGTAGTTTTTTACAACAAACCTAAAATTCAGCACCTTTTCTGTATACACTGTGCCATAAAATGATAAAATTGTTAACATTTTATCATTTTATGGCACAGTGTATACATTTAAAAAAACTAAAACTAAGAAAACTAGTTTTATGCAAAGAAATGTACTCATTGTAATGTTTATCACCAAATAAATGTAAAAAGTTTAAATACAGTGAATTAGGACACACATATCATTATTCCCAAATACCATTGGATTCATATAGGATGTGTTTAAATGACAATGGCACAATTAAAACAATGGGGGAAAAAAGCCTCTTACCTCTCTGAGATGACAGTTGAAATGAACCGGGAGTCAAGTCTGTGTTACGGAAGCCATTTCTACTTTCGGTTATCTAGCTTTATGACAGATATTTGATACTCATACAGCTAGATAACCAAAGATAAAAACAGGCCTCCTCTCACACTCTTGTGCAAAACAACATGATGCTGGTGTGATCTGCACAGAGAGAGAGAGATGACAAGGAGACCAATGTGTGAAACCAACTCATCTGCAGCTCAATTTCAATTTAACACAATGTAGACAGTGCTATAAATGACATAAGTGACATATATACAAAGCCCAGGAAGCTGTGTGATCTGTGTATTTTTATTTTTTTTTTTTTGGTATGTGAAGCTACGAAACATGAAACATTTATAGTTCAAATGTGTTTTTGCCATGATGGATATGAAGTGAGGTAATACAAATAGAATTGAAATGATTGAATTTTAAATGCAGCTGAATTTTATGTGCAATAATATATGTGCAATATGTGCAATATAATATATATTATATAATACAAATAACATATATAAAATATATATAATACAAATTTAGTTATATCTTAAATGACAATAATTTAACAAAATATCAATTTTAAGGAGTTTTTTATAAAAAGGTTAACAATAAGGTAAGATAAATTACATTTTTCACTTATGGTAGATTTGATGTAGCATAGAACAGCCCTGAGTCCCTTTCAAACATTCTTTCCCCTTGTACTTTTATATTTGCATCTTTCAGTGTTTTTATAACAAAAATAAGAAATGAGAAAATCAATCAGACTTTTTGTTTGGTTTGGACACATAACCTTAGAAATCTCAACAAAATGACCATGAACCTGAATAATTATAATATGCAACAGGTTAAATACAGCAAATTAAGCTGGGATCTAGAATTTAATAGTTTTAATTCGTTCCTGGCTCTTAAGAGCTCCTAGGGGCGTCCTCATTTTTAATGAGAATTGTGATTGACCCACTTCTTAAACTAGATTATTTCACAAGGATTTTTTTGCAGAGGCTATTAAAGAAACCTACAGTCCCCAAAGTCATACTATCTAAGGGTAAAATATTTATACACACTTCTTGTAGAACGAGGTCGTTTGCAGTGTATTCCCCTTATAGGTGTGAGGAATATATAATATATATAATGTGTTGAATAATAATAATAATAATAATAATAATAATAATAATAATAATAATAATAATAATAATAATAATAATAATAATAATTTTGAGGGGGTGGGGGGATAAGGCAGGTTAAAAAGTACCGCACATCCTATTAATTTCCATGCCGCGGTTCTCACCTGAGTCAGATATAAAAAAAGAGTCCTCAGCTCCGGTTGAATTTATTTCACGCCATGTCTTTCGTGGTTTTCGTTCTGGCCCGTGGTACATGGTCGAGTTTTCAGTGGATGCTGTTTTCCGTCCAGGTCCAGCTTCACCCTCCTCCTTTTGGCTCTTCCAGCATCTACTGCCTCTCCTCCATCCAGCGCTCCTTCCTCTACTGTCACACCACGCGCTTCACACTGACGTCATAGAAGGAGCAGGCCGCCCAACTGACCAATCACTGAGCCAAGACTCTACGAAAGTGGAAAGATGTCCCACTCCTCTCAGGTTTTCCTCGTCTTTTTTATTGATTTAATTTCTGAAAGGTTCTCACGAGGCTCAAAACTTGATATGAAAAGCAATAATTAGCCTTGTATTTAAATGTGGCTAAGACTAACCCTATCACCACCTTCCTTCAACCCCCCTCCCCCTCTCCCTCTCTATACAATATACATTGTTTAATTGTATTACAAATACAGAAATTAAAAACAAACACTACCATTGTTAAATGACTTATACATACACTGATGCATGTCGCAGCGACAACAACTCATTTCTTTATTGAATATTACTTTACACAGTGACAAAACACTTACAAAGACCGATTTTTAGTTTATAAAAACGTTTAAAAGCCACACCACGACTGATATCATTGCCAAATGTTCATCATTTTATTATCAACAGATCATTAGCGAACATTCTAAATTGTGTTAAGGCAGCAAGACGCCTTTGAAATAATTAAATGTAATTACATTTCAACAAAGACAGTGAAATTCCAGAACTTTCACTGCATTACAAAACACGTCCAGGTTTACAGCCTTAAAGTAAAGCAGTGTTAAAGATAATGTTATTTTCTGGAAGTGTGTTCAGTAGCTTTTGTATTTCTAGATTCATTTATGTATGTATTTTGGCCATTTATATTGCTTTAGCAGTCACATTTGTCTCACGTTTGTCAGAAATGTTCAACCAATTCACCAAAAAACTTTTAATCGTCCTTTCTAATCCTACCTGATTAAATGCTGCAATGACAGTCAATATTATCCACATAACATAAATCAGTGAACGAAACATTACCTTAGCCCCACAAGAGTAAACATGTTTTAGCATTTCCATTATCTTTTTTTATAGACGAGAGAACAAGAACAGAGAAACTCTTCTGACCAAATTAAATAAAAACTAATTCATTCACATTACATTTTGTTTGGTTTTTAATTTAGACAATAAAATATTACAATGAATTTAGTTTATCTATCGTTTATTATTTGTTTCCAACATTTTTATTGAGGTTTCTGCCGCAGGCTGTGACGAGTTAAGAAAGCATTGAAAAGTGTTAGACCTCCCACTCTTTTTTTTTTCTTTTTAAGAACATTGATTTAATACACTAGCAGGGACAGTGGATACTCCTGACAAACAAAGGATCTTTGGTATCAACTGCAAGTGCAGTTCTTGACAGCCAGGGTCAAGATCAATCTGCGCAGCTTTCTGTAGATCTGGAAAGTCAGAATTGAAACGCTGCCAGAGCGCTTAAAAGATTGCAACGTGTTATAATTACACATAATAATTCTTTAACAAACAGACTTCAAATATTCCAAGTTAGTACAAATTTAAATTAGCAAGTTGACACAGGAAGCTAAGAGCAAATATTGGGCATTGTGTTTCTGCAGTCAACTTTTTGTTTTGTTTTTCATTTGTCAATTTCGGAGGTGGGACTTTGCCGTATTTGCACTGAGCTTTCTGAGCCACCGTACATTTCAGTCAAAATCAAGAATTAATCAAGGTAACGCAGACTGCATTTCAAGTCACCAGTAATCAAACTGTACTTTTTTGGTTTTATGAAATATAACCACGGTAATTTTGGAACAACCGATTCCCCATTTATTATGTATGTATGTATTATTTTAAACATAATCTTTTACCTGCACTTTCACCATCATGTAACCAAATTATTCTCCAAGTGGTCAATCATACACACAGAAATGTGTTGTATCAATGCGTACAGTGAAGCACAATTCGTTGTTAAGTAACAACAGTTTCGGTTAAGCCATTTAATCACTCTATGCCTAAAACCATTTTCTTCCAAACCATAACGTTTTTACTTATTTTCAATTCAAAGAGAGTGTATCCCAAATATGTCCATATGAGGACTTTTTTACTGTCATTTTAACAATACCCTTTCCCCCAAGAGTTGAATGTCAATATTTCCAAAGGTTTTGATGAACAGTACTAGTTGTAATTATTGATATGACAGCACAATGTATATATAAATCTGAAGCCACTTTATGCACCATTGTTTAAAAACCTCCATGCTATTTCTTAATTAATATCTGTTAATTAAGACATAATACAAACTGATGAGAAAACACCAGTATGAAAATATGGGCTAGATATTTATAACAACAAATTCACTTAGTCAAGTAAAATATTTAGAATGATCCTTTAGTGATCAGCTGCTATAACTATCATTAGACAACATTAGAAAATTTAACCAGGAAGTCAGTAATAATAAGCAGCTATGCTGAGTAGATATACTTGAAATTCAATTACAAACATGTAAATATATAAATGATAAGGACAGGGCAATTGTAATACTCAAACACCGTGGTTGGGAAACCACTACCATTGGAAAATATACACCGCGTAAGATTACCACCCTCTAGTGGCAACGTTACACATTGGCACGTACCCTTTGCTTTATTACTTATTACTATTTACAAAGTTGTTAATAGTTTTAAGACAACCTCTTACTTTTACTTATTTTTAAACCTTTATCAGCTATAGGTGAGTTATATTGAAATACTTGGTGTCCACAAACTTAGCCATTACATTTTATTCTATGTGTTATTCTATGTTTTTTTGTGTTTTTCTTTTTTTTTTCGTTTTAAGTTTAGAAGTTTAGCCACGAACAAAAACGCAATACGCCATAATGCTTCACTGGTAGGTTACTCTGGTGTACTTCAGTAGCGGTGACTGCTACATATATTATAACCATTAATATGCTTTCTGTGTAGAAAGCTTGTTGCGGTAGTAACCGTGCTGTAGAGATGTTAGTAGTCATCCGAGCCGGATGAGGCGCTGTGATTTAATCTTGCTTCTTCGTGGGGTTGAAATGTTGACATCATGTGGTATTCACCTCATGTTTTTGATGGGGAGAATTTGTAACTTGTGTTTTGCTTGTCAGGTTGCACTTGATATCAGAGGAAATGTGAGTTTCTTTAATTAATAGAATTTATTAAATAAAAACAGAGTTGTTTAATTTGCTGGTCATAGCAATGGCGAAAAACGACGACTGCAAAACTGGTTTAAACTAAATTACGTTAGACACGTCTTTTATACCGAGTGGTTTCCCTTGCGTTTCAGTTTAGTTATAACCCGATGCTTTTGTGTGACAGGTTTGTAAACGTATGAATGAGTCGTTAGTCAACAAAGTAAAATAGATAAAAGTTGCCTTATCATGTCAATTCTTACACATAATATATTCGAACGCTTTTGCTAAACATAACTATTTTTTAATTCATTATAAAATGGTATATAATGAAAATAAACGTATCTAGTCGACATTTCGTTTATTGTGACTAAGGGTTCGCGTGTCTTTAGTAATCTTTAATCTTTTTTTAGTAATCAGTAGCTTTGAACTGTTTTTTTTTTTGTAGAATGAAGTATTTTTCTTTTTTGTACTTAGTGTTTGCAGGTATCTATATATCAGAGCAGCTAAGTGCACAGTAAATTGAGATGTTTCATAAAGAGGAAAATGTTTATAATTTGGCTTTATACCACGTGTGTTAAATCAACTGGTATCTAGTGAAAAGAATGATTTTTATAAATCTGTACAGATGACTTAAAACAAATATGTTCCCTAGTGTCCTTATGTAGAAAATGTTCTTACTACACTGAGGGACACTTGGTACCTGCAGTTTTATATAACTTCTTGTTCCTGTTGTAAACCTAATGGTGAGGTTGCATTCATGTTTTCTAGGCCTACTGTGTGACGTTCCCATGAGGTGATGCTGCAAGTGTTTCGCTGTCCTCTGGAGAGGTCTCTAATTTCTGCACAGTGGACGTGTCTGCGATCATGGCTGTCCACCAGAACTCGACCCCATCAAGGCGACGACTCCAGAGAGACCCGTCTGAATCCCCTCAACGTTCAAATGCTGTCGAAGAACCTCCATAACCAGATCTTTCGAGGACTGGAACCCAAATTTAAAGAGGAGAATGTGGAGCGCAGCATCCAACATTTGCAAAAACATGAACTCTGGGGAAAAGAAGCCTCTCTGTTGCCTGATGTAGAATTGAAACTCCCTCAGATGTATGGAAAGAATATTGATGAACATTTTCGCATCCTAGCCCAGAATCAGAGTCTTCCTTACCTGGAAGCTGCCGTGAAGCTGCAGAAGGCCAAACTACCTCCAATGCCACAGGAATGGCGGTGGGAGGTTGGATGGACACGCTATGAGCCAAGTGGAGCGAGTCAGAAAGTGGATTTTCCAGAGGAGACGGCTCTGGTTTTTGATGTGGAGGTGTGCATGACAGAAGGACAGTGTCCCACTCTGGCTGTTGCTGTGTCCCCCACAAATTGGTGAGGAGGAAAAATAAAATGAGTTATGCGTACACAACGTTTTGTTGTATTTGTAAAGGTTTGATAGACTTAACTTTATTGTTCATGCAACTATCGCAGTCCTTTAGCTTTTCTGAATTCTTCACTTTTTAGGTATTCCTGGTGCAGCAAGCGTCTCATCGAAGAACGATACACCTGGTCAAACCGTCTGACTCTTGCAGACTTAATTCCACTGGAGACATCTTCAAACTCTGTTTGTCCTACCAAAGGCCAGTGGACCAACAGGATCATAGTGGGACACAATGTCAGCTTTGATCGATCCTTTATTAAGGAGCAGTATTTGCTTAAGGTAAGAAAGACACACTTAACACTTAAACCTCTTTAACACTTAAACCTCTTTAGTCCTTTATAGAAAGTGAAAAATAACTATGTTTATATTTTTAATTTTGAATACTGCTGTATTTAGATATATATATATATATAGAGAGAGAGAGAGAGAGAGAGTATGATGTTCCATACCAGTGCACTAAAATGTCATTTATCATGTCTTTTTGTGACATGATAGTGATTAATGATTTTAAGTGTAAATAAGTACAAACAGTAGGCATATTCATGTACACAAACATTTGCTCACATTAAGTGAATTAAATTTATTTATTCATATTAAATGTTACCCACACGTGTACATCTGGTGTTTATTTTCCTTTTTTTTCAAGGGTTCAAAGATGCGTTTCATTGATACCATGAGCCTTCACATGGCCATTTCAGGACTGACAGGGTTACAGCGCTCATTGTGGATCGCAAGTAAGCTTGGCAAGAGAAGAGGTCTTCAGGAGGTCAAGGCACACATTAAAAAATCTGAACAGAAAAGGGACAGACCAATGGTTGGTCTATATTCTAAAACATTTTTTATTTCCCAGTAATATTTTTTTTCACATAGTGCAGACAGTTGTGACATCAAGGTTTTATCCATGTGTGAAGGTCGGTTCCTGGGATTGGGTGAATATCAGCAGCATCAATAACCTTGCAGATGTTCATTCACTGTATGTGGGTGGGCCTCCGCTGCAGAAAGAGGCCAGAGAGACCTTTGTGAAGGGCACCATGGTGGATGTCAGGAACAACTTCCAGGTCAGAGGTTCAAGACAAATGGTGCCATACTGTTACTAATCAGAGGCTAAATACATTCAATGTGAAAGGTGCTTTTCCTGTGTCTTCAATATAAAATGCTTTGAAATGCTTTGCGGTCGGGATACATTTTGTGGTTTTAAAGAAGAAAATATCAGTGCTGTGGAGTCCTGCTGCTCCCTTTTTATCACCAAACGTACAGTATAATACAGGGATGCATTCCATATATTCCCTGATTCATTTACTGATATACAGCCTTAGAATGTACTGTAGGTTTTTTTTGTGTTACTGAAATGGTACATAAAGCACATTTGGAACCAAGATGTGGATTTCAGCCATGATCCTAGAACCACTACTGACAGATAATTTCTAATCTAATTAATCTAATCAAACATAATCTATCGATTATTAGTTGCAGTTTTTAGCATAATTTTGTCTTTGCTGACATTTACAGGAATTGATGCAGTACTGCGCCATGGATGTTGAGGCCACTCATGAGGTCTTTACTGAACAGCTGTCTCTCTTCATGGAGAGGTCAGAACGCCAAAACACATCAATAAGACGCGTGAGATAAAATAATTTTATGTGAATTTTTAAAAAATAAATGGTTATTTTTTTTAGGTGTCCTCATCCAGTGACATTTGCAGGGATGTTGGAGATGGGCGTGAGTTACCTTCCTGTCAATCAAAACTGGAATCGGTACCTAGAAGACTCTCAGGACATTTACGAAGAGCTCCAGAGAGAAATGAAGAAGTCTCTAATGACGGTGGCAGATGATGCCTGTCAGCTGCTCCAAAATGAAAAGTTAATACTTTTATTAAGAATATATTTAAAAACAATGATTTATTAATGTATGATTTATGGTTCTTTTGGTGTCATTGGCATAAAATGATGATCAGTAATATATATATATATATATATTTTTTTTTTACAAGATACAAAGATGATCCCTGGCTCTGGGATCTTGAGTGGGACGTGCAAGAGTTCAAGTTGAAGAAAGTAGCAGCCAGGAAGTCGAAGAAACTGAAAGAATCAGAAGAAGAACAAGTTGTTAATTACGTTCCAGACTGCAGAGAAGGTAAAAATGAGTGCTGAAGCAAATTACTGTTTAAAATAGAAATAAGAGGGAAAAATTGGCTGAAATATTACAAAATGTTCAGCAAAATTCTGTGATGTTCACATGATGTGGTGCAGGTCCCCCTTCTGAAGAGGAGATGGACGGAGTTCCTCCTAGCAGGCTTGCAGTCGAAAAGCTGAAGGAAACAGTGTCTCGACTTCCCAAAAGGAAGCAACACCTACCCGGACACCCAGGGTAAAACACTTCCCAACACTACAAAACAAAAAACATTTTTATCAAACATGACACTGACCACATCTTTATCAGGTGGTACCGTAAGCTGTGTGAGAAGATGACAGAGGAGGAGAGCTGGTCACCTGGAGCAAGTCTGATCAGTCTGCAGATGAGACTGACGCCAAAGTTGATGGGTCTGACGTGGGATGGATTCCCTCTTCATTACACAGAGAAGCATGGCTGGGGCTATTTGGTGCCCGGACGCAAGGATAACCTTGTTCTTCCAGAGGAAAGCACTGGACCTGTGTGTCCACACAGGTAACACTCTGCTCTTGATTTACAAAGATTATGGATCATGGTCTTCCTATGCCCTTCAAAAAAATTCCTGTATGACTATTAATATATATTTTTTTAATTTGACTTTGTTCCATAAACACTGTTAACTCTGTTATTTTAAATTTGGATTTTTCCATAGGGTGTTAACAGTTTCTTTGGCACCATCTGGTGGTTACATCTATGTACTAGAGATTTAAACTAAAAGATAAAATTCATTTTCCTATTCCATAGAGCCATTGAGAATGCTTACAGAGATTTTTGTAAGGAGAACAGCAGAGACCCTCCTCCTGATTTGGACCCTGGCCATTATGATGACTTCATGTTGTCAGACAGCACAGTGTGGGAGAAGGTGGGCACTCTGTGTGTGTTTTTATTGTTGATGTGTATGGATAAAATAGAAAAAACTGAATGAAACATTAGTGTCTTCTTGATGGAAAAGGACACATTTGTCCTTGTCTTTTGTCAAAGGTGGAGGAGTTAGGTTCCATTGAAAATCTGACAGAAGGAAATGAAATACAAATGATGAGAAGCAACAGGAAGAGCAACACTTTGAGTGTAAACTTTCATCAGCTTGTTTCATCATCATTTACATGTTTACCATTTTGTTTTTTGTTTTTTTTAAAGATTTCTTTATACTGCATTCTCTTATCAACAACAGTCCCAGAATTCACTTAGTTTACCGGACAACAGCAAGTGCCATTATCACCATGGGAATGGTCCATATAACGACGTAGCCATCCCAGGATGCTGGTTTTTTAAATTGCCACATAAGGTAAAAGGACCTCTTATTTCCCTATTCCCTTTATAAAATCAACAAAACGTCACTTCACTCATTTTTCTTTTGGCATAGGATGGTAATCACAACAATGTTGGTAGCCCGTTTTCCAAGGACTTCCTGGCTAAGATGGAGGATGGTACACTGAGAGCAGGGCGGAGTGGAAGCAACGCCACACGAGCCCTGGAGATCAACAAAATGATTTCTTTTTGGAGGAACGCCCATAAACGTATAAGGTTCCTGTCAGTTTTTTCTCAAAATGTGTTAGTTTCTTGAGTCGATTTCATTATGGTTTGACTGTATCCCTGTTCAGCTCTCAGATGGTGCTGTGGCTGCGGCGAGGAGAGCTGCCTCGTGCTGTTGTCAGGTTCGTCTGTTGTCTGTTATAATTTTTTTATTTATAAAATGAATGCACTAATTACAAGGTAGCTTTGGATTATTTAAGATTATCATGATTATAAGATGTGTTGAAATTTATAGTCAAATAAAACCTCTTGAAATGTTTAATTTATTTAACATGTTAATTTTGACAGCCCCTTGTTTTTTATTGATTTGCAATGAAGAGTGAACCTCTCATCCCTTTAAAGGAGTAAAGAGTTCGATGAAGATGGCCAGTATGGTGCCATATTACCTCAGGTCATCACTGCTGGGACAGTAACCCGCAGGGCTGTGGAGCCGACATGGCTAACTGCAAGTAACGCAAGGGTGAGGGAGCTGCACATGCACTCTTTGTCTGTCAGTAGAAAAATTGTGTGATCTGTATTTGATGTACCTTGATGCATCCTCAGAGGGACCGTGTAGGCAGCGAGCTAAAAGCCATGGTGCAGGTACCACCTGGGTACCACCTGGTCGGAGCAGACGTTGACTCTCAGGAGTTGTGGATCGCCGCTGTACTGGGAGAAGCTCACTTTGCTGGGATTCATGGTGAGATTTGTCCTGCTTGAATTGATCGAATTGGAAATGATTACATCCTTGCAAAGAAGACAACCCAAAACTGATTCATATCAAGGACATAGCATTAAAATAATAAGACATTTTCTTCTTTTCTTTATTTTCTTTACTGTGAATTTGATCATTGATCATTGTGAGGAACATTCACTTTAACCCTAAAGAAAAAATAATCTGCTGTTAACTTTGATCATTGATTATGTTTTTTTGTTGGGTTTAGGATGCACAGCGTTTGGCTGGATGACCCTTCAGGGAAAGAAGAGTCAGGGCACTGACCTGCACAGCCGCACTGCTGATGCTGTAGGTATTAGCAGAGAGCACGCTAAGGTCTTCAACTATGGACGCATCTACGGAGCAGGACAAGCCTTTGCTGAGAGGCTGCTGATGCAGTTCAACCACCGCCTCAGTCAGACGGAGGCTGCAGACAAGGCCCGGCAGATGTATGCCCTGACAAAGGGTATACGCAGGTATTGGATTCCCTAGAGTAGTGTTTGATTACAAACACCAGTTCAAGAAGAGTGGTTAGGGTTAGGGAGTGGGTGTTTTTGAAAAATTTGTCAGTTTGTGGTTTATTTTAATTGCACAGAGGTAAATTGGAATTTATTTGTGTTGATAAATCAGATACCATCTGTCAGAAGAGGGTGAGTGGCTGGTGAAGGAGCTGAACATAGAGGTGGAAAGGAATGAAGATGGAAGTGTCTCCCTGCAGGAGCTCAGAAGGATCTCCAGACTGGCTTCAAAGAGGTGAGGAAACACCTAGAAGAAAAACATGGCTCACTCTCCTCCATCCTCCAAATGTAGGATTTGAAAATATAACACTCTCTAAAGGCTACAAGAAAATGATGATTTTCTCGCAGCTAGTTTGGGAGTCCTCACCGCTTGTTCTTAACGTCTTGTTTTTATGAATTTTCACACACCAGACAATGCAAATCAGCAGCACAAACATTCAAAGTGCACATGCCTTTAGTTACAGTGTCATTACAACCTGGAGTGTAACAATGAGAAGGACGGCAATAAAAGTCTTCTTGATGTCATCCTGCTCTGTTTATTCCTTTCCCATGGTCCTCAGCTCCAAGAGAAAGAGGTGGGATATCGTCAGAAACCACCTGTGGTCTGGAGGAACGGAGTCGGACATGTTCAATAAGCTGGAGAGTATTGCTCATTCTGAACAGCCAGCCACACCTGTTCTGGGCTGCAGAATTAGCAGAGCTTTGGAGCCAAGTGCAGTAAAAGATGAGGTGAGGGAGAAACAGGGTTTGGAAGTGTGTCTGACAATGCTGTGTTTTACAAATGGGCAAAAGAAAATCCATTGTGTGTCGCTGTGACCTATTAGGAACATTTGTCTTCTAGGTGCTTTGTTCATTTGGGTGGTAAAAGTCTTTTTTACATAGACCTACAAGCTTTTATTTATCAGAAAGTTTGCTGCACAGGAACCCATTTTCAATTAGAACGTCATTCCAGTCCAGTGAGGTAGACCAAGCACTGAAAGTTTGAGATGAAGTACACTTACAGTAACTTTTTAAATATGCCGTCAATTCAAGAAAATTAGAATCAGCAGAATACCGTACCGTAACAAAAAATCTGAACCAGACAGAAAATTGTAAATGCATCTTTAGAGATAATAAATTGTTTTCTTTTATCTGATTTAAAGTTTTTCCAAAGAAGGAACTGTTGTATTCTTTTAGGGATTAAGCTTTCACCTACAAATACAGTAAAGGAGATCGTATTTTGCTAGTACACTTGTATTACACAGACACTGTATCGACAAGAAGAGACCAAAATTTGGGGAAAATAAAAGTATAACAGATGTGTATCCTGTGAATAATGACCACAGATGTGGCTATGCTGTCTTTTTCAGTTCATCACCAGCAGAGTAAACTGGGTGGTGCAGAGCTCAGCTGTAGACTATCTACATCTGATACTGGTGGCCATGAGGTGGCTCTTTGAGGAGTACAACATTGATGGGCGCTTCTGCATCAGCATCCACGACGAAGTGCGGTACCTTGTCCGCAGCGAAGACCGTTACCGGGCAGCTCTTGCACTTCAGATTACAAACCTTCTTACAAGGTCCGCTCACAGATTATTTTTTTCTACTTTGTTTTAATAATTGTGATCTGGACAGTGAACTGATGTGTGTGTTTGCATGTTTGGGGCAGGAGTGCGTTTGCCCATGCACTGGGCATGCAGGACCTTCCACAGTCAGTTGCATTTTTCAGTGCCGTGGATGTCGACCAATGTTTGAGGAAGGAGGTCGTCATGGACTGTGTGACCCCCTCCAACCCCACAGGTCTGGAAGGCAGATATGGCCTGAAACCTGGTGAGTTCATCACCATCTTTGCTCTTTGTTATTTGTAGCATCTCCTTAAGAGAATCCAACTAATTTTTCGTTCCAGGTGAAGCTTTGGACATCTACCAAATCATCGACCTTACCAAAGGCTCACTGAACAAAGGATAGAACATCATGGACATCTCTGCTGCGCAGTAACACATGCAAAAAAAAATAATGCCACAGACATTCAGTAGCTGTCACTTGTGCCGTCACATGATTGCAGCCGTCAATCAAGATGGGCCAGCTCAGAGGTTTATGCTGCATGTTATCTGGATTGTATTCATAAAAGTGAAAGAATACAGTTGTTTTAAGTTATTTGTGTGTGGTGTTTTAAATCATAATTTATAAAATAACCTATTTGAGAAAAATATGTATCAGTCAATTGTTTTTATGAATTATTAGACATTTCAGGCAACTGCATTTTGAATTCCAACCCCCCCCACCACCCCCAAACACAGAGAAAGGCAATGTTGAATAATCTGGTCGCTAAAAAAAGGGTTTGTTTTTGTTTTTACAGAAATGATAAAACAAGTAAAAGTGAAGTGTATTCTTTTCCAGAGATTATACATTTCAACAATTTTTTTTAATGGAAAGAATGAGGGATAATATTATCAAATATCCTTTAGCAATATATTCTAGGCACACGCCTAGACCACGTTGACCTTGCCTCTTTATCTTTTATTTTTAAACTTCCCAACTTTAACTGCTGCTCTGTGACTGGCTTATTTCATATCCTGTTCAGTAAGGTCACTCTGTGAAAATATTATTTAATTATTTATTCGTTTATTATCTCTGTCAGCGTTCCAGTAACTTTTTAATATATATACATTTCCCAGAAGTTTTGGTCTTACTTGCAACAAAATATTTTTGTTATTGCCGTATCTTATTTAATGTCATCTACTCAGACGCGTGACGACTGCCTACGTCCCGAACGTCAGAGCGCATGCGTGCTCTCTCCACTATCACCGACCGAGACTTTATCAAACGTTTCTGCCTATGCTCGCAAGGACCAGACACACTGCTGCTGACGATTAGATGTGTTGTTGTGATGTAACGTTCGCCACTTGGTGACTACGGATGGCTGTTTGTGCCAGGCTCTGCGGAGTCGGTCATTCACGGAGGTGTCGGCGACGAAAGCGGCCAAACCAGCAGGGTCAGGCAAGCGATTCCGACATGGAGGAGGAAGAAGAGGAGAGGATCGTGGGCCCGAGGCCGGGCGACGTCTCCGGTGGAGGCGCAGGTCTGGAGAGCGACGTCGCCACTGCAGGGCCGAGTGACGCTGGCGAATACGGTACAGTCCGAGGCAGTTCAGGAGCCTTTCTGAACGGCATCATCACCGGACCTCCACACGCGCAGACGTTAGTAGAACTACCGCCGGAGCTGTTGGTGGAAATCTTCTCCCTGTTGCCAGGAACGGTGCTACCGAACGTGGCCCTTGTCTGCAAGAAATTCAGACATCTCCTCAACACAGAAACTATTTGGAGGAGACGATGCATTGACGGTAAATAAACGCTGAGTCATGTCATATTATCAGACCTGTGGTGGAGGTGCTGTCAGAAGCAGAAGCTCTGTTTCTATGAGTTATTATGGTTCAAGGGAAATGAATTGTGCCCGTCTGTAAGGCCCTGTCACAGTTAGTAGGCCTGTGTCATCCGCTCAGCTGATAGACCAGTGATTCCCAACCTCTGTGCCGCGGCACATTAGTGTGCCCTGGGTCATCAGGTGTACAGTGGTTATCCGTTTTCACGGACTTAACCTAAACACCATGATTTTTTTTACTGCATATAATTTTGTCTTTGGTCGTCTATGCAACAGTGACAGGCAAGACAATCAGTTGCTCCAGCTCTCGTTCTGTTCACACCTTCCTACTCCCCTGTAGCTTCCCCTGCAGAGTGTGCAGGGGAAGCTTAATATGTAATGTCTCTGTCTAGTTAATATAATTTTAATGTTATTGACTAGAGATGGTTTGATACTACTTTTTTTATGTTCGACTCCAATACTGCAACTTGCAGTATATGCCGATACTGGTACCGATATCAATCCTGATAAATCCTTTTTCCTCCAGCACACCGCAGGTTGCCGTTGCTGAGGTGATTGTGTCCCAGTTTAGGGCACGTCCCACAAAGTTGAGTTAAGCATTTGGGCCGACCAATATCGGACCGATGCTGAGCCCGAGCCGTCCCTAATATTGACCATGACTCTCTATGTCTTTGATCACCCTTGTTTCACAGCTGTTTTTCACATCACAGATGTGAAGTCCATTATGGCGAAATGTGTTGGATGATTTTTGGGATAGGCTAATTATAAAATAAAATAATTTAAGGTGCATAAACAACACAACAATTCATACAACAATGATTCCTTTATTGTCACCAGGCTTAAAACCAATGTTTGTTTTTACAAATTCACAGTGGTCCAAAATTAAAAACTAGGACAAAGACGTGGGCCAAACTTGATATTTATTGAAAAAATTATGGCAATTGTGCATGTTTTCCCTTCTCTCCACATATGCAATGTAGAATTTTTTCATATGGAAACAAGTTTCGCGTAACCTTTTGAGTTCCTTTTTAATGTTTTTTTTTTTTTTCACAGGCCAACTACAAAACATAGTGCATATACTGCTATATACTGGTGGCCCAACTCTAGTACACATTTGATATAAACTCGTGGGCCAAATATAATTACACTGCGGGCCAGATTTGGCCCCCGGGCCTGAGTTTGACAAGTGTGCTTTAAGTGCCTAATGTATCAAAATAATTTGAGGCAACGGCTTCTAACTAGTAAATTTAAAATGCTGAAAAGCCCAAACCCGTTCCATTTGTCCTAACCGTGTTACTGCTTATTTTACCGTAGGTACATGCATGACACCCAGTATGTCGTTCATTTTGCTTGACAACAACAAAACAACTTGGGTGTAGCTACTTTCTGTTTAGCTGTGTGTCAATAAGTTATTTAATTAAAAAAAATTGTTTCACATCAAGCTACCTTTCAGAGACGATAAACCTGTTGACCTCAAATGTTGTATATGTAAATCTTCAAAACCACAGTGTTTCCTGACCTCCCACAACATTACTGCTCAACACTTAACAATGCATTAAAGCATCATGCTTTTAGTGCTGTGCAGTCACAGGGCAGGTCAATACTGCGTTTGCTGCGTTGGTCCTGTTCAGCACTGTGAATACTGTGGTAGAACAGGACCAACAGGGGGAAAAAAGGTCAGCTCTGAACAGTAACGCTGTCTCATGCATCTTCTAAAATTCTGGTGTGTTGTTGCAGGGAGAATTGGAGTAAAAATTAAATGCAACAAAGTAAATGTTATCAGTTATCAGACATGCGGCAAAAGATAGTGTTTCAACAATAATGTTTTTTGTCTATGCCTTTGATGGCTGATGCATGGCTGATATGTTTGTTTACGCTCAAAAGCAGCTGACAATGTCGCCTGACAGGGCTTTTGTTCAGTTTGTTGGAAACTGTATTGCCTTCATCATGGTCCAGTACTGACTCACACTTAGCCATGGCCATCAGGGCAGTGTTGTAATCCAGGAGATTAACAGTCTAGATAACATTAATAATCACATTTAATTTCTTCTTTGGATTTCGTTTAGTTGTGTGGAAACACAAGGATTAAGATGAGTTACGTTGATTAGATATATATAGAAATAGATTTCACATCTCTTTTTTATGAGTCACCAATGCCTTGTTATCAATTAATCCTACTGTATTTGGACCAGAAATTTATTCTGTTATTCACTTGGATTGTATCTTAAACAATTATTAAATTAATTCATTAATTAGAAAAACTCAGTTACAGGAAATCCTCGGCTTACGACCTACGGTGTTTTGTTATTAACGTTGCCATACCCCCACATACAGATTTATCAAGGAAGTTTTGTTCTCTCATTCCAATTTTTTTTACTTTTTGCCCTTCATTGTGTCTCATAAGAACAGTTTTCACAGACCAAATTGTAGAGGACAATGTGGGATTCAACAGCACACAGCATTACATAAATTGTAAGTTCCAACGTAAATCAAGGAACCCCTTTACTTAACAATGAAACCTGGCTGTCCACATTGTTCAACGACGGACTTAGTTAAACCAATCAAGTGCTATGATGTCATAGACATTTATCACCGCTGTATATAGATTCTTTACTTTAGTAAATATG